GAAAGCGGATGGTGCTATTGATAAATAAAAGGCTAGGCTTGTAGTAAAAGGATACAAGCAACGAGAAGGTCTTGATTATTTTGATACTTATTCACCTGTTACTAGAATTACATCCATAAGGATGTTAATTGCCATAGCAGCGGTGTATAAGCTTGAAATCTATCAAATGGATGTTAAGACGGCCTTCTTAAACGGGGATTTGGAAGAAGAAATATATTTGGAACAACCCGAAGGGTTCATTGTTCCAAGTCAAGAGAAGAAAGTATGTCGGCTTATCAAGTCACTCTATGGATTGAAACAAGCACCGAAACAATGGCATGCTAAATTCGACCAAGTCATGTTGTCGAATGGTTTCAAGATCAATGAGTATGACAAATGTGTATATGTTAAGAACACTCATGATGGTTTTGCCATTTTATGCTTATATGTAGACGACATGCTTATAATGGGCAGCGATAGTGAGGTTGTTAAGGCGACCAAACGCATGCTCACAAGTAAATTTGATATGAAAGATATGGGGGTTGCATATGTTATTTTAGGAGTTAAAATCCATAAAACATATGGAGGATTAGCTCTATCACAATCCCATTATATTGAGACGATTCTTGGAAAGTGCAAGAATCTAGATATTGTACCGGTAAAGACTCCGATAGATGTTAATTTACATCTTTCAAAGAATACTGGTGAAAGTAAGGCTCAAAATGAGTATGCTAGTATACTAGGCAGTTTAATGTATGTCATGAACTGTACTAGGCCGGACATAGCTTGTGCTGTGAGCAAGCTAAGTCGATTTACAGTTAGTCCAAATGAAAATCATTGGAAAGCAATGAAACGTTTATTGGGCTACTTAAAGCATACTCAAGATTATGCTTTGCATTACACAGTATATCCAGCGGTACTTGAAGGATACTGTGATGCAAATTGGATAACCGGCACTAAAGACACAAAATCGACAAGTGGATATGTATTCACACTTGGGGGAGCGGCAGTGTCTTGAAAATCATCCAAACAAACTTGTATTGCTAGATCCACTATGGAATCAGAATTTATTGCTTTGGATAAAGCCGGTGAAGAAGCAGAGTGGCTTCGAAATTTCTTGGAAGATATTCCTAATTGGCCTAAACCAGTGCCCGCTGTATGTATACATTGTGACAGTCAAGCGGCAATAGGAAGAGCAAGGAATGTCATGTATAACGGTAAGTCTCGACACATACGTCGAAGACATGACACAGTAAGACAACTTCTCTCTAGTGGAATTATCACCATTGACTATGTGAAGTCAAAAGATAATATTGCGGATCTATTGACAAAAGGCCTAACTGGAGAAATGGTTGCAAAAACATCAAGGGGAATGGGTTTAAGGCCTATAAACAAGTCATCATAGCGGAAACCCTACCTAGTTGACTGGAGATCCCAAGATCTAGGTTCAAAGGGACAACTAAGTTATGAAGACAGTGTAGAGTACTGTTAAATTTTTACTCATTCCCGGATGAAGACAGTACTAATATGTGAAGGTTAAGCAAAAGCTTTTAATGATTCTGAATTGAGTATATGATATACTATATGTTCAGAAATCACCTATGTGAGTGTGAAGTGAGGGCCGCTTCTGTGAGAATTGAAAAGGCCGAATTCTCTAAAACACTCATGAGACCAGGCGGTGTTCATGGTCAAAACGAACACAACAGTGAGAACCAATTTTGTTCGAGAAACAGTTGTGTGATTTCTATTATCTAGGCTTACACCAAAGGTCGACAGTTCAAAGACATCAAGTCTACTGATTGACTGAGTAAGTCCGATAGGTTTCACTAAGGAAAGTTCAAGGTCTCAGACTACTTATCCTGATGCAACGTTTTCTCATGAAATAATCGCACATTGCATCTCATGCATACACCAAGAGTCATGATATCTGAACTTCTCATTCATGTGGGGGATTGTTGGGATTTTGGAACCAAAATCCCATAGAATTGAATGAGAAGTGTGTGGGTGAAAGTGTCCCACATAGGGTAGAAGAGAGATGGGAGATGGGTTCAAATAGTTGAGCCTCACAAATGGGTTTGGGCCCCAAGGGGTACCCCACTTTTGTGGAAGAGAGAGGACCTACGTCAAGCTAGGTCGGTCCACCTCCCGCGCGCGCCGCCGCCGCCGTCCGTCCGGCCGGCTCGGCTCGGTTCGGTTCCGGGTCCACTCTCTATCGGTTTTTATTTTTTTCGAACAGACACGTTGTTTAGAATTTATTTATTTATTTATTTTTTGGACAAATAAACATGTCTGTTCGTGAGGTTCGGTTCGCCCGAACAGAAAACCGAAGCCCTTCTCGCGACTGTTCATGAACCGAACCGGTTCAAGTGAACCTTCGCTACTATTCACGAAAACTCGCGACTCTTCATTTTTCGTCACTTGAATAAGACCGAACAGTTTAGTTCGGAATAGACATCACTTCGTGGCATTCATTTTTCCCGACGCACTCTACGCATATTCACTTCATCATTTTCATTTGGTGCGATTGTTCTGCAAAATTGCGTTCGTTGGAGTCCTCCGCACTCTACGCATATTCACTTCATCATTTTCATTTGGTGCGATTGTTCTGCAAAATTGCGTTCGTTGGAGTCCTCCGAATACGTACCGCTTCGGAGGAACGAGATCCGTTCTATCCTGGGAGACGATTGTCCAATATCCTCGGGTACTGATTGAGGGGCCAAATTCGTCTTAAGGACACGACGTTATTTCGTTGGGATCGGATCAACATTCTGCTTATTTAGTTGTACTGCTTTCAGGTTAGTTTTTCCTAACGTTTGATTTTAATTTCTGATATACGAACTTAGCCGACTACAAGAGACACTGTTGAAAGCCTCAAGGAGAAAGGTTTCCTCTCTTTTTGAGCTTTTCCTTTGGAGGTCGGCCTAAGCGACATCGTTAGGAACCTCAAGGGCGAAGGCGAAGCCTCTCTATCTAAGCTTTTCCCAATCAACGACGACGCTGACCTTGTAGTCGAACTTGAAAGGTTGCTGATAATGTATTCTATTTTTCGTCTAGTTACCGTCATCGGGCCATGGATGGTGTTGCGTTCACTTGTTGAATAGAGATTTCCATCTCTAAACTTGAAAGATGATGCAATGCTGAATGACTATCCTACGAGTATTGTTGTCTGGCTCAATTTGCGAATATCTATAGCGGTGTAAGTTCTCCTAAGTTAGGGTGAAGCTATATGTCTAGGAGCGAGCCAATGACCGTGGTGGTGTGGTGATTGTACGAGAATTTTTTTATATTATTCAATAACAATATCGGGATAAATGAGTGTGCTGACATTGGAAGGATTTTATTACAGAGCACGAAAATGAGCCTAAAGAGCCAAAATGTCTTCATATATTCACATAACGGTTGCACAATCAACAACTATTTTATCCCGGATGACTTTTCCATCGATCGGAGCAACCGTCCTGAAGTAGCAACCTACCCTTTCATCCTTATAACTCAGTCGTTGCTTTGTTAATATATATAACAAAGGAGAAGAATTGAAAAAAGAGCAAGAAAAGCTGTCGAGTGTCCATCCACGGATCCACCCGCCCGCAAAAGGCGAGCTTCCATTTTTAATATATATATATATATATATAAGGGAGGAGAGATGGTCTCAAATTGGCTTTTGTTCGAAGTTGACCGTTCAAGGTCTAATGAGCATCTCTCTCTCTCTATTCTCTCCACCGTCCCCATAACAGCACGCGAGGAGGTGGTGGAGGAGGAGCGAACGGGAGAGAGAAGAGAGAAGAGCGCGTGTCGGCCTCTGATACACCGACCAACCACGTCGAATGAGATTATCCGAGTGAGTGACTGACTGGTAATAACACTAGTAACTAATGAGAAAATATTAGGTAGTTCCGGATCGCCAAGTCAGCGTGGTCCCGAACCACTCATAAAGCGCCATGTGGCTCCACGTGGATCCGTGGGGCCGGCTCACCAGTCCCCGATTTCCTCCACAAAAAAGTAATTTTTATCCTCTCACCTAGCCTGAGCGCTAGCCGATGCTCTGCTTTTTTCGCATATTCTCTCTTATTCCTAAGTCCTATCCGTCCTTTCGTTTCCTCATCCGAAGGAGGAGAAGAAAAGCAAACAGGTGTCTCCCCCTCTCTGCCCTGCACACAAATTTTGAATTTTTCGCTCTGAGATTTCGCTGGTCCGCCATTCCTTGCTGCTCCGGCGTTCGTCAAGCGGCCATCCTCAGCCATCGCCGACGAAGCACATTAAGGCCACCCCCTGCTCCGACGAAGCAAAGGTCTCCCTCGTCTTCGCTCTCAGCTCCGGCGTTCGTCAAGCTCTCGTTCCTCTGCCCTCGCCGACGAAGCACATTAAGGCCACCCCTGCTCCGACGAAGCAAAGGTCTCCCTCGTCTTCGCTCTCAGCTCCGGCGTTCGTCAAGCGGTCGTTCCTCCGCCCTCGCCGACAATGCACATTAAGGCCACCCCTGCTCCCACGAAGCAAAGGTCTCCCTCTCTCGCGATCCGACGCTCGCTCACTCGCTCGCTGCTCCAGCGTTCATCAAGTGGCTGTTCCCCCACCATAGCCAAGGAAGCACATTAAGGCCACCCCTGCTCCGATGAAGCTCCAGTGTATTCAGTCTGCCCACGTTACAAGGAAAATATTCAGGTTCATCTGCTTTGAGAGCAGTTTGCCGCTTTCTACTTTCTTGGCTTATACTCTATCATTTCAAGCAGACTGTATTACCAGTTTTTCCGAATTAGATGTCCAGCTGGTAAATTTATTTTGACAGCAGTTTCCCAGAGTCGACTATATAACTCACTTTTTCATTATTGCAGTTTATTTTCTCCACTGCCATTGATGGTAAGATAAAAGCTTGGCTGTATGATTGCCTTGGATCTAGAGTGGACTATGATCCTCCCGGTTTTGCAAGGGGCAGAAATATTGTTATACCCAACTGTTATTGGTTCTGAACCACAGGATGAAGCACGTTAAGGTTGCCCCTGCTTCGACGCTCACTCCGTCCTTGCTCCGGCGCTCGCCGCTCTCTGCTCCATTGCTCTCTTCTCGCCTCCCCATGAAGCTGGAGCTGTCAGCCTCCCCAAAGACTAGATTTTCTCTTCTATCACGGAGGTAAAAGTTCCTGCATTTTTTTTTTTTTTTTTAGTAAAGAGTCGCAAAGATTATTTCAACGGTGAAAGCCCTGTTATTGGTATCTTGAAGTTGCTTCTGAAATTTGAATTGGCAGGTTGAGAAGACGATTGACCACGTTCAGGAAGTGAGCTCGGGATTTTTAAACACTGCACAGAGTATTTTCCAAATTGTTGCAGATGCTCTGAAACCGGGTGTAGATGTTGCGGCTTCGTTGTTGCAGAAAGCTGGAGAACTCCCCAGCTCTTTTCGAGGCTTCAAAGAAAGCCCAAGAAGCAATGCAGAGCTCAGGCATTGATGCACAGCCTGTCATGAGTGCTGCAAAGGTTTCTCCCTTGCATAAGTTTCACAGTTTGTATGCTTTGTCCCAACCACAGTTTGTAACAACAAATGCGAAATCACGGTTTCAGCAGATCCCATTATACTCTTATGATATGCTAGAATAGGCTGAACATGAACTACTCATTCTTTCTAAAGCCATTGTTATTTGAGATGGGTTCTTAATGCCATCCTAGGTTTTAATTCACTGGTCTGAGTATACCGTTTTGTACTTGCGAGGTCAGCACGTTGTTTTTTCACTTACACGTACTAATCTTACTTTTATTTTTCTTTTTTATCGAAGATGTCTTGATCTGCAGATTAAGAAGGCGCTCGCCTCGGCCTCCGGAGAGCCCCATTGACATCTTTTCCTCCAGGAGCCCTGCCATCGTGACCTTCGTGCTCGTGAAGGCCAAGCAAGATGAACTGAAGAACACTGATGAGAGGATACAGGGATTGAGGCATAATGTGCAGCAGTCAGATGTCTTTCTTGTTTGTGTATTATTTGATCTTTTATTAGGACTACTTGTCAAGAAAGAATAGATGGTTGGAACTTGTAATTTTGATAGCTTAAATCAAAGGCTCAGCTATTCCCCCCTCTTTCTCTCTATCGTTAAATGCTTTTAACATTCATTTCCATGAAATTGTCATCAATGAAGCGGCGAATCGAAAAGAGTAATGAATGGTTTGTCCTGGTACTTTTGTGGCTTTAATCCCTTGTCATCTTTGTTCCCATTTCCGTGTAGTTTACGAATTGACTAAAAGAGTGCTCCCTCAGTTTTTCTAACCCTGTTTTCCTTTAATTTAGGCAATGGTTTGCCCTGTTTGTATATTTAGTTACAGCTTACAAGTAAAAGCGACCGATCTCGACCTACCAATCTTGTGAATGCACGCCAGGCAGAGGAGAATCTGGTACACACTGCCGCGGCTTTCAAACTAATCTTTTGAGGAAAAAAATTTCAACACCTTCCCTCTTCTCAATTAGTGACTTTGCACCTGCAGATCTCTCACACTCTCTCTCTCTCTTCATCGTATGAAAGCTTAAAAATTGCTCAACATGAATCTCTCTTTACCTTCTCCTGTCACTATATCTCCAAATCCAGCCGCCAAACTACTTCAGATAAAAATTAACAGCCAATCAGCAACTCCTATACCAACTGTCATTTCAACTTCCAAACTTGCGGACGAACACCCCAAACAATCTGTTGTGTATTAATATAAAAAAAGAGTACACTTGCTCAACAATTAAGCTTCCCAAACAGCACAGAGAAGCAAACATTCAATTTTCACTGTCTTATATCTGACAGAGAAGCCCCCTCTGAAACAGTAGACTAGAAGTACACGCTTACACACCAAAACCACCTATTTTCGTCAAATTAGGACTTCTTAACACATCATCCTATATACGCAACAAACTGCTCGACAGAAATATATACATCTTCATTACCATTCCACAATCAAGCTTCCCAAACAGAACAGAAGACAAAAGAATTCTAACAAGCATTAAAAACAACCACCATGCTGCTATCTTCTGCCTCCCGACGAATTATGGTGTGACCGTGCAATGTCTATGCCTTCAAAATCGTTCAATTCTTTCATCCTGGGATGTTGAAAAGAATTTGATGGCCCCTGTACAAAGGAATAAATAATTTATAGAGAAAAGGCACATAAAAAGTTATCCAAAGAAACAATTTTATGATGGCACATAACCATTAAACCGTTGGTAATACCGTCAGCCAGCTTACAGACGGTTTCAACGTGCTCAGCATAAAAATATTGTTTTGACTTCTTGATCAGATGCTTTTACCGTGTCAGCAGAAAAACTACCCACCCCTAATGTCCAAAATCTCTTTCGACTTGAAAGACCGAACAACGGTACCTGGTACTGGACATACTAGGTGTCCCACAAATAGCACAAAGTGACGGGGGCTGGCTTTGGACATCCAGCTGAAATGTAGTGTTGCGATTGTGAGGTTTTCAAGTTGCAGAAATGAATGATGTATGCAACATCATTGCCTTTTAGAGCAAAACTGTCGAATTGTACTTGTTACGACCAAACAATGTAAGCACAGAGTATAGACCGTGACATCATACGAGCATAACAATCCACTGAATCACACATTCTGTTGCTAAAGGAACAAAAGGATTTTATTAGATTTAGAACATCTTTAATCAAGTCAACTGGTAAAGAGACAGATTTCAAGTCATGCCTTTCTAGGAAGAGAAGCTTCTCTGCGGGCTGACGCAGAAAGTTACAGAGAATGGTTAACTAGATGAGCAATCTAGGAAGAGAGGATAGGCTGGACCATTGGATTGCTAACCATCGTGTATCTACTACATAGCAGCGGACGTGGACGCTTCTTGACCATCGTGTATCTCCACTTCAGCCTTCCTCTTCGCTGCAACCCACAAAAACAAAGCAAATTTTATCATGATGAACAATTATCTAGAATCAATTGGCAATTGTCATTTCAAGCTTACCATTCTTGGCTTCAATCATAGCTTGCTCAAGTCCCTTATCCAAACTTACATCCCAGATTTGGACTTGCAGAATCTCATATCCATTGAGACCCACAGCCTGCAAAATTTAGAGAACTCCAGTTCAGTTTATCTCTCATAATAACATCAAGAAGTCTAGAGTGGACTACCTCTTTCATTTCTTCCATAATAGCTTTGGCAATTTCATCCCTCTGCCCAGAAACTTCGTCCATGTTTCGCACCGCAACCATAGCTCCGATCACTGGAATGATTGAAACAACAGAATCAGGCATGCAATAGTCGTTGCTTACCCGAAGTGTTAATTGAAGGACTAAAGTATACTACTTTCGCATGTAAATTGTACAAATTTGTTCCAATACTATATTTATACTGATGTGATGAAATTTATTTGGCACATACCCTTGAGCACATATCCCTGGATCTGACGTCTTGGATTACTCTGCATGTAAAAGGCCTCATATTGTCTTTCTTGATGGACTCGGTATTGCACATGTGCAACAACATTGACAAAATCATTGTCCTGTGAGAAAAATATCACGTGAGGTCATTACTTATTCAAGCATTTACATGTTAATTGGTAACAAGTGACAGGCTGTCATCTCACAGAACTGAAACGAGAAAAGGAAAAGACAAAAGATTGAACAAACCTTGGTCTTTGTTCTGCATTTCACAAGCAAGCTCTGCCATTGGAGTGACAGCTTCCCGGCGAGCTGATACCCACAAATCCATGGAACAAAATGACAGCCAGGTTCAAGAGTTCTGTCAAACCTTCCAAACCTCTTCGTAAAACCTACTGTACGTTCCTCAACTTGGACACAGCAACACACGTTACCCATCTTATATGTATATAAGTGGATCCTGCAGAAAGCATGCAATTGTTAGTTTAACGCAAACCATTTTTTTCAAACTTTCAATAAAATAAAAGCCATATGGGTATGTCACAGCCACGGGTACTTTCAGTTTCATCCAACCACCAAAAACCTGGTGACATTTTACACATCTAATCTAATTTAATCTAATCCAAAATTCGACCAGCAATCAATGTCTACCTGATAAGTAACATTGCAATTTCTTTTATTCCCATGTAATCAACAACTGAAAAGACAAACATGGTCTGCTCTACACCGGGATCCGAAATAGAATTCATTTAAGACCTGGCAAAGGGATTTAACTAAATCAGATCTGTACGTCGAAGACATTATACCCATTAGACCGCTGGGACCACTTTATGAATGCTCGTTTTAAAGAAGCCACGAACCAGCAATCGGGTCGGGTCGGGTCGGGTCGGGTTCGTGTTTAGAGGTTTACTAATCATTATTGAAATGATACAAAAGATAGAACAGAAGGGGGCTAAGTACATTGATAAGGCTTCGTTGACAAAACAATAAGCTGCCCTTTGCGGCTAATATGGACATTCTCTTTCCAACTATACATACCCCATCTACATTTTTGTTAGTAGATGGGGCTTGACAATCGTTGTTTCTTCCTGTGGAAAAATCAGTCGATTGCTACGCTTTCTACCACCCATAAACTGTAGAATTCCTACCCTAGCGAAGAGCTTGTGTCTGCAGCTTCATCGTTACTCAAGCTAGATGGCATCTATGCAACGACAGATGACTAAACAGGCATTATAAGTATGTACTATGTGTCTGTCATTTGTAATTTAGTCAGTGTATTAGTATGGCAAGAATGCATGTAAAGCTTGTAACATTCACAACACAATTCAAGACCACGAAAACAGGAAGGTTAAGAAGTAGTTTTACACGAATTCGATCACGAAAACAGGAAGGTTAAGAAGTAGTTTTACACGAATTCGATCAGTGCGAATCACTGCCAATCATAATCTCAGTGGGAAGTGGCTTGATATGAAGCCAGCTTACATGTATAAACTGCTCAAAACAGAACATAGATATCATCAAGCCGTAAAGCTATCTGAGACCCAATGAGCGCACGTTTCGAAATGCAAGAAAATTTCTCTCCCGCATGAAACCAACCGAGAGAAAGAGAGAGATAGAGAGAGACAGAGAGCTTACCTTAGCCTTGTATATCAGACAGTGAGTACCAGAGTAGGAACACAAGCTAGTGACGCTACTGGTATTCTTTCCGAAGAAGCTCAGCTTTAGACAACAAGGGAGGCAAAGCAAAGGGCACTTGCACTCAGAGACACGGTGTTGTGGGATTCATATTCAGATGCGTCTGTCTTTCTGGGTTCTTGCTTCCGTTGATGAGCACGTCACTGATGATGGGCATCACTTTCATAGCTCGCAGAAGTTCCCCCTACAGGTGGGGACACAGAATGTGACACAGAGAGTCGTGTTGCATGATGAACTGAAAAAATGGAAATTAAAACCAAAACCAAAACCAAAACCAATTGCAGGAAAAACAAATTATCCTGCGCCGATATCGGCTCCTAGGCATCTTTCGCTACAACGATTAAGAATGCGACATCCAATTGCACCGAGGCCGACCCAATCGCGACCAAAACCGCGATCATCACTCGAGACCGGAGGAAGCCAAATCAAGATGAGTCAAGACTCATTGTGGGAAACAACGAGAAAGCCGATGTTGTGTTTGTGGGAGATGTAATCTTGATTCTAGACTATGGTTTTAGATTAATGTTGAAAAGAAGCATTAGATGCTAAAGGTCTTTACTCTCTTTATTGCACTTTGTATCCTACCGAATATTACCGCGTATCTTCATGTGAAACAACAAAAGAGAGGTTAGCGACCGATGTAATCTCTTCCTTCTTACCTTCTTTCAATATAGGAGCATCGACAATGTCAAACAAGCGATTCTCCTCCATCGAAATGATGAAATACATCGCAAGGCTTCTTCCTCTCCATACTTAGTTGGAAAAAATTACCTCCAACTATATCTTTGATCAGTGTTCAACTAAGTTTGGTCAAAATTGCCTCAAAACACATGAAGCAGTTCCAACCCTACATAAGTTTTCCGAGTCAAAATCGATTTTTGGGCCTTCTCGGGGGCATGCATGAAACTAATTTATTTTTATGTTCTCGTGAACATGCTCAGAACAGAAATAGGTTTGGAAGTGGTGATTTTGAGGGATTAAATTGCTGTTTGTATGGAGATTTAATGGCCTAGAATGACTGAGTAAGTGGCTGTCCACGGTGGAATTAATTGGCCTCGGTTCGGTCATTTTTTAATAATTTTTAAAGTGCGATGGAAATGGAATTCATCCGTCGCAAATTTGCGACGGAATAAAGGAAATCCGTTGCCCGTTTGGGGCATATATATATATATATATTTTGCTCGTTTTTCTGATCATTGTAACGAGTTGAGTGGCTGTAAACCGAAAACATAGTGAAATCTCGTACGAATATCAACTACTCTAAGATTTGCAAGCGTGAAAATATAACCAAATGTACAAGGCAATAATGGGTCCCCGGAAATGAAATGATACCTCTCAGATCATCATCTGCTTTTGTTCGGAGCTGAAATGCATAGCCTTCGAGTATATGCATTCCGGGAGCTTGAGGGATCTTCTGTATTCCCCTCACAAAAAATCGTTTAATGATTATCAGCACATGAATTCAAATCCAAAAGACACAAAAGCTATTTCACCAAGAAAATGTCTTGGAAACCTTTTATTGAACAGATTATGTGCACTACAAGAACAAAGGTAAACGTGGAAGTAATGCGATTTTGTAAATTTATATTCCGAAAAAAAAAATGAATGAATGAATGAGCATGGAATATCACCATACCTGGAACAGGAAGTTTGTTCAGAAGCACTGCGCATCACATGTGCTACAAGTTGTTACTTGCTAGAGGAGTAATGAACAATAGAACTGTGGATTTCGAATACCTGAATGTAGTTAAGTTAGATCTAGTTGTATGAAGTAAATGTGAAGGAACAAGTTAGATGTGCAACAGAGCCGGAGGCTATTCCTCTTCCGAGAGAAGTCGATCGGGCATGGAACTGCGGGGGCGATGGGATCGGGCGGGAAGGAGGACTCACCTGGAAGGCTGGGACGGCGACGGCGACTGCTGCGACGGAGCTGGCAGAGCCATGGCGGCGGTTCCTCGGAGTTGGCGATCACGAGCTCCGCCCAGGCGCCGGCGAGAGAGATCCGGCAATTGAAGCGGGGAGAGGGATCTCCGGCGGGCGAACTCGAAGCTCGCGAGAGCCTCGGATATGAAGGTCGAAGGTAGGAGGGAAGGCGACGATGAAGTTCCCGTCGCGAGGAGGTTTCCGTCCGTCACTAGCTTTGGAAGAAATGATAGGGTTTCTATCACGCTTGGAACAAGAAGGACAAATGGGTGGGCTTGTTTCGGGCGGGAGCGGGTAGATTCAAAACAAATTTAAGCCTTGATTTTATTATTACCCAAACAAGTTAAGGCCAACCCGATCCAATATGAAAATTCTTTATTTGGATCAGGTCGGTTCAGGTCGAGTCATGTTTAAGCGGGTAATTTTGACACCCCTATCGATCAGTTAACAGTGCATAGCTTCTTGTTCCTTAGAAACCAATGTGCCATCCAATGTTGGGGGTCTCATGCTTGTTCTACACACCTTATAATCAATTGTGCCAGATATAATAGAAAATCGAGTACTTGCGCTTGTTGTATACAAAAGCTAATTGGCATGGCTTATACAGTGTCAGATGATAAATGTGGGAGGTCATCCTATTGCTGTAAATTAAGAGCTGAAGTTGTTAAGACTGCTACTACCGTCACTCCTACCAACTCATTTAAATGGAATAACTCCTACGATTCATTCCACCAGACAACGTTTCCAGTGAAAGCAATTACTTTCCATTCGTCGTCAATTATGATACAAGGCAAAGTGCTCTCGAAAAGCGTACATTCAAAAATTTTGAAGCCAAGTTTGCGCAGCCACCTTGTCCTCCTGCCTGCACCCACATGTCTGGCACAATCTCTGAAACATGCCTCTTCAATTGGAAGAACTTCAGCTCTAGTAGATTCATGTTAATGCACCAATTGATTGTGTTTGCCACTTTCACAAAGTGAATTTGGAGCATGTGGAGCCGAGAGTGAGAGGTTTCCCATTTGGTAATTTGGAGAAGCAGAACGGGCAGAAAAGTACCAGAAGAGCGTTCTTAGTATTATTTACTTGAACACATGCACTTCGCCTTTCTTTCATTAAGCAACTGCACAAGAAAGGAAAAGTTTGGAACGGAAGGTAATAGTTGGTTGGAATTTTATGCTTAAGCGTTTTCAGAATGAATGGTGTCTTTCAATCAGTACCTTGACCTGTTCCTGAAGGTCTTTAATGTACACAACTGCCATATCCAGCATATCTGCTGTGCTCGTTTGCTGCCAGGAAGAAACCATAGAAAATTGTTAGTTCTCTCCGATTCCTACCATTCTGAAGCGATGCTAATATACAGAACTGGTCTCAACTACCTTGTCAAAGTTTGGGAAACGATCTTGCAATTTTCTCATTCTTTCACTGATGCGCCCTCTTCTCACCTGAAAATCACAAAACCCAGTTAGATCTTGGAAGAGCAGAGATGAGCATTCGGTTCGGACGAAGTTATCAGCAACTGGCCATGACTACTTCGATATCTCGGTAGTCATAGCCAATCCTACAAGCAACTCGAACTTCTGGTGACATGGCTACTTTGAGAACTCAAAGGAATTAACATAGCTCCAGGTAATTACTCTCTCAGCTATGCTTCTTGGGTGGGTGGCACAACCTCGTTTTGCACGAATTTTACAAGGAACAGAATCTTGATGATGCAAAATATTTGCCACAGCAGCCATTTCAGCCGAAGTCTTGGGCAAGCTCAAATGGTGAGTCAACCCATGCGTCCTGTTTCGGGTCACGTCATCCTGATCAAACAGACTATCAGCAACTCAGAATGCATAAACATTGAGCAATATCTGAAAAAGATGCACCTCATACCTGATTTTCCAGAGTGTATATGCTGGAAGACAAGTTTGCATCCTCCTCTCTGACTCTCTTCAGGCCGTTGAATGTGGTATTTTTCCAGGATTTTCTGATACAATCTAGTTTGTTCTCATTCTCCATTTCAGCAATCTGAGACATATGCCTCGAGGTTGAAATTGATGTGGACCTCAAATCTGTTTGATCTTTTGATTTGGATTTGCTACAAAAAGAACCATCTCCTTTACGTGTTTCAAGATTCTGAGCATCTCCTCTAGCACCAAAGCCTATAAGCGATAAATTCCAGTCAGACAAAAATAATCTGCAGATGGACAAAACTTTCAGAAACCAGGTTTTATCGCAAATAACAGCACCAATTTCGACAGCAATGTTCGAAGTGAAACCAGCAGGGGAGCTACTCTGCCTGAAAAGACTGGAGCGATTTCCGCCACCCAATTCTGCTGGGGCATTACTCTGCAAAACCATGGAATTTGCTTCATCAAAGAAGCTCACAAATCCATTAGAATTTGCTGAAATTTCATGATCCAGATCGCAGTGCACTGGTGAAGAACCATCCATGGCCTGAGTTATAGTATTCCTGAAAACAACTTCCCACTCTTGCTTTACCGATCTCTGGCCATCCTCTTGCATATCATTAGATTCAAAACCATCAATGGACATGAGTTCGACAATGGTATCATCCATTTCAGGGCTCATAGGACAAAGATAGCTGTAATCCTCACATTTGATGTCACAACCACTGCCATTGACCAAACACTCGAAGAAAGAGCTTGGAGCAGACCGATATTGTATTAATGGGGAATTCAGCTGCTGCAAATGCAATGGGTTATGCATAAGCGAGTCCATGAATCCTGGATCCTTTTTCAGCTCTCCCTCTAAGCATTCCACCCTTGGACTGAACAAGAGACTCATTGTATTTATGAAGATGCCTGATGGTAGCCAAATATATACATACATCAGACAGATCCTTCCAGTACAATTCCTATGTTCTTAATCAGTAAAAAAGGACATTCACCAGATAGTACCTTAACAGCTCTGCCTAGCTGCAAGTTATGAGTAATGATTGATCCCTTGGATAACTTGCCACTTGTTTAAGACCAAAGTCGGTATGTTTTATTCTGTCAGCAATCGAAGAGAAGTTAACCTTTTTTTCAAAGTATAATAATCCACCTATTGGCTTCGCAAAATTTTTTCATTGATAAAGACGAAAGAAATCACATTATGATGAACCCAAATCAAATGCACGCGCCTATAATCTTACGACTCACAATTCAATGCTCGAGTTGGCCGCTTTAGACAACTCTAGTGCTAACAGTAGAAAAAGAAGCACAGAAGACAAGTCAGAAACTGTACCGGTAATGAAATAACTCGGTATCTATCTGGGTTTCTGCATTCTGGTTCTGCTTCATCCCAGTGGCTTCCAAACAGAAGGAGTCGAAAACAGTCTCAAATCAACCCAACTTGATACCAGAGGCTAATTTGAGATCAACCATACAACGAGTGTTTTCTGGGAAAATATTCTAATGGGTAATTCTATGGAATAGAGTGGCGTAAAGTCTCAGGCAGGATGGAAAGAAGAAGAGCCGAGGGACACGTATAAATAGAAGAAGCCACGGGAGAGCAGCCAAAGAAATAGTTTCTCCATTCAGTGAGTTTTGTTTTATCTTTATTCAATTTAATTATCCATCATTATCCATGGGAGTGTGATGTGATCCATGACACGTCATGATACAGATTGCCTAAAAATTGCCCGGAGAGATCAAGACAAAACCACACTGCGATATTGTTCCTCGGTTTTGTTGGTGGTTTCTGGTTCGCTCACCTTAAGCAGGTTTGACAATATAATAACCGAAGTAGATGATACTTACGATTTTCTTATGGATCAAGCGACTCTAATCTCGAATGGGGGAGGCAAGAAACAATGTAGAGATGACGTGGTGAATGGTGGGGGGTGATCTTTGGTCCAGAGGAAGAGCCACAAGTTGGAATCTTGATTACTATATTAAACAATCCCAGGTTAACTGAACTCTGCACTTAATTAAGCCACGCATTCTGATGCTTAGAGAGGGTCATTTTCAACCCCTGACAAATCGGGTCATCGTTGTACTTCTATCCACAAAACAAAATACAACTATCTTCTCTTTTATTATACTGTTTCGACTTCTCAGTAAATATTGATCCACCGTGTTCTTATATCGTTGTTAATTTGGGTCTAACTCGTGATATAATTAGGTGGACAAGTATGGCGACTTTCCTTTCTCTAAGCACAAACAATAAGAAGACAAAATCTAGAATTGAAACGATGATTAATCTGAGTCCTTTCACTGCATCGATCCATACATAAAAGAGTGAAAAGGATGGATGTCTTTTCTTGCAAAATAGCTAGATTACTGGAGAGAAAATTATGAGTGCAGGCTGCATCCAATTTTGAAATATGGACACCTAAATGCGAAGTCTAGTTGAATCACCCTCTCAAAATAGTAAGACATTGGTCTTAGAGACTTACCAACAAAGGATAATTTTGATTCTTTCTTAAAAGTTTCTTATTGGATAGAGGGACGCCAATGATGGAATAGAAACATGCAATAAATATTTTTTTTTTAGAATTATACAAAGTGACGATTATATCACGTTCTGCGATCTTGTGGTATTACCAAATTAATTATGTCTAACGAGATTTTGAATATGTAGATGCGTTATCCCACTCCATGCGTAACAGGATATGTGGATTGATTGGTAAATTCATCCGTATAAAATTAAAGTAAGATGTATTTTCTAGTTTGAAGCCTATAAAGGTCCATTCCTGAAGGTGGCTGGTCAACTACTCTCATAACTAGCTCCACTGCATTCCATTAATAAGTGGGTCAACACGGTAAGCATTCATTCCGACACGTCCTCATCCCGGAGTCCATCTTTTCTCGACTTCAACTCCCATTTTTTGCAGATTTTTCTGACTTCCATTGTATTCACAGCCTTTGCGTAGGAATTCGCCTTTCTAGAAACTGTCTGGGCAACATTTCCTTTGTCTTTCCAGATATTAAGACTTGAATGCGTAACTAACTCTGTGGATCCATTATGGGCCATCACTCCAAAAGGAAAATGTCAACTTTGGCAGTCTGCAAGTCTGAAGAATGAGGGCAAAAAGAACAGAAAAAGGGAGAAAAGATAGTGAAGGGAAACAAATTAGTCTGATCTGATTTCTGAACCCAGCAACACCGATGCATTGTAGCCAATTCATGACTCGCAAATTGACTTCCCTACTTCCTAATACTGCCACGAAAGTTCACCAAAGGCATTGGCGCTTCTCTAGGTAACCAGTTTGTCAATTCCCGTTCACTCGACTTGCTTGTCCAGTAATTATGGTGCCCCAGCTTATCCTCTCTATGTTTGTCAGCTTCTTGGACTTAACCGCAACTCAAAAGTCAACTCCTACGCTTCTGCCTCTTCCAAATAATCGTCCTGTTGACCATCAGGGCTTACATTTTTTCGTAAAGACTACAACCGCTGGCGTTGCAGCCATTTATTCAGCAACGTCATCACAGGGTTGCACACAAAAAAATTCTCCAAAACGCATCCTGATAAACAGATATATATCGCCAAACTACCCTGAAATCACTAATCGATTTATTGAAACAAAGGCTGAGCTCCGAGTTTCTTAATCGATTCTAAGCAGTTACAAGATTAATGTTTGCATGTGCTCTGTGGGTCTACGCCAAGGTTCGCTTCACCTTCAGACAACCTCACGGCTCTGCTATTCAAACTTGACTATCTTTTCTTAATCTAAATTGCATCATCGTTTTCAGACTATACCTTACAAGTCAAACTTAGATGCTGTCCCAATGAAACCCCTTTCTGTAAACAGGGGTGCACCATGGAAAACAATACCATCAATTGATAAACGGTATTCGATAAAGTCAAAGGGCCATAAAGGTTTCATGAAATGCGGCAACATTGCGTTCATCCCAGGCTAAGCTAAGGACAGAAGTCAACCCCTTCGTGGATTGAACATGAAGTCTGAAGCTTCCTGATTTTCCAATTTCCCTCAAGGTCAAGTCAACTTAGCTTTAAGGAAATCCTATGCTCCCGTGGCCTTGAATACTAATTCTCTAAATACTAATTCTCTATCTCTAACCATTTCTCCAGATTAATTGTAACTATCTGCACTAGAGAAATAAGCTTGGACATACCAGTAACTTCTGACTTTCTCGTGTAGATAGTAATTTCTAATTTTGAAGGTACATCACTCGCGCAACCCATGAGTTTATATATATAAAGGTAACTACTCATACACTAGCAAAATTCATACTTAATTAGTAATTTTTTCTAAATGAACTAACTTTCAGTGAATTAATAGGTAGTATTTATAATTCCATGAATTTCATCTAAAATTATTCTTGGCCACCGACTGATGCAAGAATAACAAGTGCCGTTTTGCATGCACGTATAGACTTTATTGGCTCCCACTTCTTATTCTAGCTATGTCCAGTTTAGTGCCAATGCGATAATGTCATGCAACAACGGAAAGGAGTACATATATTCTAAGGAAGCAGCGAAAACCAGGGTGGTCTCCACAAATTCGCTTCCCAGCTATAAACTACATTTAACCATGTGTCATGACTCTGTTAGAAAATGAGATGTCCATCCAACATGTTTCAACAAAATGAAGCTTCCCTCACATATGGCAGTAACGTAGCATATTTATTCAGAACTATCAAAACTACTGGCCTTTCTGACGAGAGAAATGATTGCATTTGCTATATATCATGTTTATGGCTATTTAACATATAGGAGGTTCTTCAACATAAAAAAAAAAAAATTTGTCCAGCCACATCACAAACACAGTAACAAACTCGCCATATTCATAACTACCAGAAATTTACTTTTCCGTCCCTTTTTTGCAGCAGAGGGACACCTTGCATCCCAAAGTTCTTCAATAGTATGCTTTTCGAGGATTGTTCTGTAAAAGAGAGAATAAACAGTGAAGTCAATTTCCACACAGAACAAATACTAGGGCACTTTAATGTGACCTTAAACAAACAAGTGAAAAGGTTACAAGGATAATCACCAGAGGATTTGGCCTGTATCGATATCCAAGCATCATCCGCTTCTTATACTGCTCATATATATCATCATCTGGCGTCACCTCTCCCGGTTGATGCGCACCCACCCCCAAGTTGTTTGTCTTCACATCACCAGCCATAATTGGGTTGGAAATCCCACTTCTGGAGCTCCCCAGACCCTCCCCTGTTTTACAAGCCATAGCTTACAATCAGAGTGAATTCTCCATAGGAGATAGGGTGTTACATAGAACTAAGCAACCTATTGACCCAATGATTCAGAAAGACATTCAGTATACTCAAACCTATAGACATTCAAAATGTGAGTTCAGCGCCAGAATTTATGATTGACCAACAAATTACTGAAACCACAGTAAACAAAAAGCTGACTGTTTAGCAAAACCATAAAGCATACATCAGTAAAACCAACTCTACAGTAAGTAAGCTGTCATGAGTTACGACGAGCATCCAACCAGATATACTGAATGGTTTCAGAAAAATTCTATGGAATTAAAAAGAAGTCTTGACATTCATAGTAGGAGAGAGAAAGAACCTTCTTTCCATCCCATCTTAGACAGAAGTTTGTGGCCAACATTGTCAGCCTGAATTTTAGCCTTCTCAGCAGCCTCTCTAGTTGCTTTCTGTGCAGCTACATCATTACAGCTTGATAGAAACTTTTCAAGCTCTTCTAGTGGAATGTAGTCACCCATGTGATGACCCCTTTTTGCAGGAGCTATAATGGAAAACATAACATGAGCGGAAAATTAATAATACCACGCAGAATAGAAACTTAAAAGAAAATTACCCAGAGTTAGAAAACATTGCGTTATAAGAGAAAATACTAACCCTGTAGTGAAGCAGGTGGAGGCATTTCATCTTTAGACTGTTTAGGTTTCCTCCTCCTTTCCTCTTGAGCAGCCTTTTTCATGTAAAATTCCATCATTGCTACGGGATCTGCACCTGCCACACACAGGCAAGGATCCAATTATTATAAATGATTGTCTAGTTAAGCAAATTAAGAGTACAAACAGGCACAAGCAATTACCAGAGGATGGATGGCTCTAATACTATAAAGCTTGAAAAGAGGTAGAAAAAATTTCATCAATGCAAGCTTACACTTCCTCAATGACAACATGAGAAACCAAACAAGATAATCTATATTTTGCACAATTTCCACTTTCTATTTCTGCGGTAAGGAGATAGCATAGTAATAACACAAAATGTAACCGGTAGTGGTAACACCTCAAAGAATAAAACAGTCTTTTTCAAAATAACCCAAAATCAGTTTTGTTTCAGTCTTAATCGAAGTTATAAGAATAAGAAAGGAACATTTCCAAAGTGACACTATATATTTATATGCTTGAAAGAACCAATATCTTCCCAGTTAGCATAAAACTAAATATCACTACCACTTTTCCCGGCTGATGTTGAATCAACAGAAGCTCTTGGGTCATCCACATCTTCATACAAAGCAGAGGTTGGGATCTGATAATTCGAGGCATGCTTAAGTGACCTTTCAGAAGTAGGAGCAGACCTAGATGCTGGAATGCTAGAACCACCTGTGCCAATAAGAAATTAAAGGAGCCACATAAGAAAACAACATAGACTTTCAAGGGGACCCCAGAATGCAGATGGAGATATAGAGAGCTCAACTCAACATCAAGTATGAAGTATAAGGGCTCGTTTGTTTGGAATTAAGTTTTAAGTAGAAAGTATTTCTTTTGCTTTTCCACCATAACTTGAAATATTATCTGAATTTAAAAAGATTATGAATAAATTTTATGTTAATCTACATGTCAGCATTGGTATATTACAAAAGTGTCAAGTGTTTACAACTAAAAAGTAAAAGTCAAAATGCGTGTGTTGCAAGATTTAGATTAAGCAAAAAGTAAAAGTATATCAGACCCCCCCTAAAGCAAGAACAACTTGTGGACCCTTAGACTCATATTTCGCATCTGTCCCTGGACCCAAAAGAGTAAATATCCCAAGTCTGGCACAGAGATCATACATACACATGCGCAATGTGCAAAGCATCCAATTTTGATGATATGATATCTTGTTCTAAACAACCTATGGGAAGAAAAAGTACTTTAGCCATACGCCATAGAAACTATAGAGCCACAAGAAATTAAATAGCTGATCCCTGTAAGCTTACGATATGATTGAATGAAAGCTCTTAATTCCACAATGAAAGTGCTAAAAGGTTACAGATAGATAATTAGCATTACATTGACCTCATAAGCGTGCATATGACCAATTTACTGCAGGCTTCTAGAGAGGATGTGTAATTCGAAACTATTTTGTATGTGTGCTTTCCATATATCGTGCAAACTTCTACTCTCGCCTCAACGGTAAAACTCGCTGCTCTCCCAGTTGAATACATGATTTGGTATTGCAGTGACCTCGGTTTGTTTAATAAACTAATAGATTGATCTCCACGAATAAGCAAACTTCAAGGACAGATGAAGATATTAATCTCTTCGACATCAGTAATCACACCCAGAGTAACTATACTAGTCCACAGCCCAACCAAAGAGATATAGTTCAATCACCAACCACTTTGAGATTTTTGGGAGTCCCCAGACTGTTGAAGGGCTTTCTCCTCCTCAGAAAGCCTGTATTCATAATACTGGTAGTCTGCACAGGCCCCATCAAATAAAAATCTGTGCAACAGAAAGAACATCAGATCGATCTAAGTTAGTGACAAAGTAACAGGGCACCCATGCAAGTAAGATCAAAATGCCAGCATCAATCAGGAAAAGAAAATAAATGTAAGGTGTAAAAAGAAACGATCATAAACAGGAAACCACAGCCGAAACACAGTGTTTACTTGTAGTTGCATAAAACATACTTGAAAGGCGTATCTCCAGGGTTCTTTTGACGAGTAACATGCTCAAGTTGCCTTCCATGTTTGGCCACAAAATTCGCTAGTCTATCGGCGACATTCTTTACTGTAGGATCACTTGGAGAAGGGGGTGCTGCATATCACTTATAAAACTGATTAATAGCGAGAGCATGCACAAGGGAATGCAAAGTACTCTTGCAGCAGCTTGACACAAGTTCCATTGAACATCATTTCCCACCCAAGCTCATAGGTACTTAAGCAAAAAGCTGCATTCACGAGACAAGAAACATTCAAGAATGTTTTTTTCTTGTCAACAACCAGCTTAAGAGTAGAAATATATTTCCTCAAAGACTGTACTTGAAAGAGGAAGTAAATCCAAACCATGCAATGATATCATAAATAAAATGACGCGGATAAAGTTGATATCATTATAATGTAAGACATCTGTCTCCAAGATCAGGCCCAGATGACTCCAGCAATCAACATTTCAAGGCACTAAACACGAGCCATCTCCAGAATCTTTAACTTCTAAGTTTCTGTAATTTCTGAATTTTCAGAGAAGTAAAGTAGATGCAAGAAACAGATAGAAGTATCAGTATAAAGGACAGTAAACCAATACTTTACCTGTACTCAACACATTCATCTAGACATATAATTATTGTGTATTCCAACAATTATATCTAGAAGGACTGTGGCCATAAGATTGGAGTGGGAAAGGTTGCATGGGTGGCAATAATTTAACTCCCTGTCCCTTGAATCATATAGGGTGATTTTGTACAAAGCAACCCCCCCCCCCCCCTTCCCCAACCCCACAAAAATAAATAAACAAGCATGAAATAAAAATGGACCCTAAGCGAGGCCAGTTCCAGAAAAAGAGGTAACGGATGCAGCAGACAACCCATATGCTGACAAGTATCATTACCGATATCAAATTGTCTCGATGAATGCTTGGAGATATCTGATTGACCTAATCTCTGACGTTTCATTGGCGTACTACCCATATCCATCCTAAAATTGGTTTCTTCTTCCTCCTCTTCATCTCCGCCTAACTTAGCTGGACGTGCTACCAGCTTCGACTTCTGTTTCAAGCTGAATGCGAGTTTTCCACCTGAAGCGGCCTGAAGGGGCTTGCTTGTATCACTAGTTTTATTGTATACGTGACTTTTACCACCGGTGGTGCCGGGGGCCTTAGTTGCCGATACAACTCTAGCTGGTTTAGAGCTTTCCAGCGAAGCACCCACTTCCCTCTTCCCTTCGTTCTCTTTCTCTTGTTGAAGCTGTTTGAACCTCAGCAGGAACGACCCATCGTTCACAAAAAGATTGGGGTTGTCCATTGGCAAAATTCCAATTTGCCCAGATAAAGTCCCTGAGTTGAACAGATGCTTCTCAATAATTTAAACAGTAAACCGAAATTTATCTCTATTATATTTGCAATCACAATAATGATGATCATGAACCAATTCCAATCAAAAGAATGCACTAGAAATCAGAATCAGAATGGGCTCCTTTTGCAGCACATATTCAGAGCAAATAACCTAGCAGCAAGGATGCGCGACTTCTTCCAGCAAAGTGTGCATCGAAGGCGTTCTCCTTGTTTCGAAATTTCAATTCAAAGGATCAAGTTCGATCCAAAAGACCAATTCAAAGGATACAGAATGACATGGGAAACTGCTACCGACAGAATAAAAAAAAAAAACACGAAAACCAGCAATCGAGAAAAGAATCGGGCACTCAGCAGATGCGAACAAGCGAGAGAGATAATCAGCCAAGAAGCATCTGGGCATCACCTCAGACTCCCGACGAAGATGATATTGGAAGTTAGCTCGAATTCATTCGGTGGTCGATGGCGAGAGGATCGCGGGCGGAAATGGGGATCTGATCTGAAATGGTACAAAGAAGAGAGACGGTGTCCTTGCAATTTTGTTTTATATTTGTGTTGTGTCGAAATTTCTTTTCATTTTTAGACTCGTGGCACGTGTGAATTTTAGTTTTGAGAAAAAAATGACACGAATGTTTCATGACTTTCGATCCAATATATAATATGATCCTTAAAATTTTTAATTTGTTCAATATAATCCTTGAACTTTAACTTAATGTACAACTTTTAAATTGTTCATTATGGTCCCTGGACTTTTGGATTGTCCATGAACTTGAATTAATAGAAGAACAATAGTGAATATTTTCATATAGTTCAGGAATCAAATTAAATATATACAGAAAGTTCATGAATCGCATTGAATAAATTAAAAGTTTAAGAACCACGTTCACATTAGGCCAAAATTCATGAATAATATTGAACAAATTAAAAGTTTATGGATCGCATCGCACATTGGGTCAAAAAAATTCATGGGCTATTTGTGTTATTATCCCTAGTTTGCAACGCAGTAACGGGCGTTCCTAATGTTTGCCTCGTAGCTTGTGTTTTATTCAGGGAACCCTGTAGTTTTGCAATTTTGGCAAAAACACCCTCCTTAGCTATTAGATTTGCATGTACAACCCCACAACGGGTCGATATCGAGAAATCAGGTGTGACATATTAAAAATGGCATTTCGTAACCCATTTCTAACTTAGCTATGATGGTGGCTCAGAAATGCCAAGTCGAATTTCCCTTCCGTAAAAAGTCTCCTCAAAAGTAAAACAGAAGGGTTTCTCGATGAAGGGCCTGTTTGGTTCAGCATTCAAATGCTGCTTTGGGGCTCTAAAGGCACTTGGGCAAATGCAAACTTGTATGGCAATTTTTTTTGCAAGCTTTGAGGAGATGCAATTGTATCTCCAAAGCTCCCTAAGGGCCTTTGGCTGAATGCACCTCATGAGGTCCCTTGGGGAAATTGCATTTTCGGAATGCAATTGGCACTATTCATCCGTCACTGTTCATCGCGCCCAAGGAACCACACCGGAGGCCGCTGAGAGGTCCGGCGACCGCCGCCTGGTTGGGTCGCGCGACCCGAGGACCGCCTGAGTCGGGCGCCCGGGCGGCGGTCGCCGGGTCGGGCGACCCCGGGCGGCGGTCGCCGGAGGTCACCGACCCCCGGGCGGCGGTCGCGGAGGTCGCCCAGACCCCCAGGTGGCGATCGCAGAGGTCGCCCAGAGCCCGGCGACCACCGCCTGGGTCGCTCGGCCTCGGGCGGCGCTCGGGTCGCGACCCGGATGCGGGTCGCGCGACCCGAGCGTCGCGTGAGGTCGGGCGACCCCGAGGCGGCGGTCGCCGGGTCGGGCGACCCTGAGCGGTGGTCGCCGGAGGTCGGCCGACCTCGGCGGGCGCGGCGGCCCGAATCGGCTGCCGGAGGTTGGCCGACGGCCGTTTTGGCCTGCCGGACAGTCGCCGGCGGTGGCTGGTTCAGGCCAAATTTTTTTTTTTTTAAATATTAGCAAAAGTCCTTTACAAAATTAAGATTTTACCAAACGGTATTTAGACCAAAGTTGTTTTCAAATGTGATTTTAAAAGACATGTTACCAAACACTACTTGCATTTCGGAAAACCCCTTTAACTCAAAGGTATTTGCATTTTGCCAAATGCATTCCCCCAAAGCCGAACCAAACAGGCCCGAAATGGAGAAAGCACACGAGCTATTTTCACTGAATTCAAAATGGGGAGGGTCATCGAATGAAAACATTGGAAGCGTTCGGGGAAATTTACCCAATTCATCTTTTGTTGAGGCCGGTCGTTGCAATTGGAAACGGGGAAGGAGTCCAAATATGAGACAGTTAAGGGACTAATATGCAAAAGAGCATGAAAGGAAAACGAAATGGTACGGGATGATACGCTGGTGCCGGGGAGGCGCTCGGCGGTTCGCTCGTCATCCGCTGTGAGCAGAGAGAAAGCAGAGGCGGAGGAGGAGGAGGAGGCCATTCATCCGCATCCCCCGAGCAGATGATGGTCATCGCAGAGGTCCAGCTGCAGCAATGGACATGAGAAGTTGTTGTAGCATGAAAACCCTAAGCGGGATTGCTCCTTTCCACTCCCACTTCCGATCCAGACCTCCTCTTCTTCTTCGTCCTCCCGGCTTTCCTATCCTCAACTTTGAGTTTCGCCCTCGCCCTCCGCGCCGTTCCTCTCCAGGCCTCTCCGTCTCCCCCCTTTCTTCTCTCCGTAAGTCCCTCCTTCTCTAGCTCCGGCGTGTGATTTGCTAGTGTGGAATGGCGCGAAAGTTTTGAGCTTTATCGTCCTATGTATATGTGGCGCCTGCTAAGTTGACCTTCTTTCGCGAGTGCAGCTGCAAAGGAACGTGGGGACAATGAAGGGGATTCGCTGCCGCTCGTGAACGGGAAGCCGCTGCCGGGTCCTTCGCCAAATAAGTTTCTTCAAGTCGTTTTAGTGTCTCCTCAGGTAATAATTCTGTAATAGGCCACCTGTGTGAAACGTTGCATTTGCTTTGCTCAACTCTAATCTTTGTAGTCTGTGTTACCCAATGATAAGTCTCATTAAACGATGGAGGTTGCATTTCTTGTTTGTCTGTTCGATATTTTGTACCCGCATTGCTTGAGCTAGTTCAATTAAGGAGGATTACGTTTGGGGTATAGACTGATAGATGGCACCATTGACTAGTAATTCAGACAGTAGCTAGTTTACTTGTATCTTCTATGTTTGGGATTAGCGAAATCTGCTCAAGACTGCAGAATGCTGAGAATCGTGTTATTTTGCAAGTTAAACACGTTGAAGCCTTAATTTCTTGCATAACTGAGCTCCTCGGTTTCTCACTTCTGCCTTATGTCGTCCTTGTCAGATTCCTGGAAATACTGGTTGCATTGCAAGGACATGTGCTGCATCGGCCGTCGGCTTGCATCTTGTTGGGGTGCTTAGTTTGTCCAACCACTCAAGATTTTCTCTAGTGTACTTTGAAGGCATTCCTCAGTGAAACATATGTTGGCAAGTCATTGATCATTTGTGATCGTCGAATCACATCCAGTTTCTTTTGATGCCTTTAGAGTTTAAAATAGCGTGCCATGTTTTAGTAATACATTACTACTTGAATTCTTAATCATACCTTATAAAAGTACCATATTGCTACTTGAATTCTAGATCTTACCAAAACAGTGATGTAATTATCCAAACTTTGTGTGGAGTACTGTCAGGCCACAGGCTATCTTGGATAGGTGCTGGCATTCAGTTTATTCTCTATTGGTATATATAAATCACTGCTATAAGCTACTTGAATTGACTTGCTGCGTGCATAGAGATGTTTGGTTATCTTGAAAACTAAGATCCATGGCAATTTTGTTAACAAGGGCTCTCTTTTGAATTTTTTTTTTCTCTGTCCACTCAGCCACTAGGTTTTCAGGTGGATGATTCAAAACTCAAGCGTGCAGGATTGGATTACTGGCCGTATCCTCCTCAATGCAGTATTTCTATTTTGTGTAATGTTTTCCTGGAAAAATAGCACGGATTTGATGGCCTTTAGAGTGATGTCTATTTCTTTCGTTTTTTCTTTTAATGTTCAAATCACAGTGGATCTTCAAGGATATCCTGCTTATATGTTGCAGTTCAGCAAAAATAACGAGCTTTGTGCAGTTACTTTAATGTGCTTTTTTGACTCTGCTTGATACTTTGATTATCTATTTTGGTCCTGTTGTGTGGGTTTAATTGACGGGATATGTAGATATGTGGTTGTCAAAGTTCATAATTCATGGGCTGAGTTTCGAGACTACTTCAGGAAGCAGGTATTTCCTTTTCTAGTAAGTGATTTAGAAAGGGCACCTCTAATGTGTCCTTTATCCCATCTTCTTTTCCTTGCTTTCTGCTGTAGGATGGTGAGAAAAGATTGCTGGCATTCACCAAACGAGGGACTGATATACATTCTGTGAGTTAACCATCCTTATGTACCTAGAAGCTATGATTTTCAAATCCTATCTTGCAAGGAGATGTAACTTGAATCTGTGCATCTCTTCCAGATGATCACTTTCCCTTGGCTAGTACACACATATACATAGAGGATTAGCCAGCAAGTTCATTTAACAGAAAACTGGTTTGGCAGATAAATCCGCGTAGAATGGCTACAATGGTGGTCTTACAAGTTATATGTTTCAGTTTCCACAATACTATTAAAAGTTCCCATCCAAGTTCATCGAACTATCTAATTCATGCTATGTCGTTTTTTTTACTAGATAAGATCGAAATATGTTTTAATGTCGCACTTCTTCGTAGATATACTGATTGTAACTGTGCTTCGCCCTTGGCGGAAGTTTTGTTGGAATGTAAAATCGTTCACATTAGAGTGAACGCATAGTGTTTTTCTTGGCCAAAAGGATAGACACGAGACAGAATGATTTGAACGAATTTTATAGATAATCTGCCGTAGTTGCAGAGCAAACACAAGTAGCTTTCTAGTAGAGGAACCGGATAAGCACATATACCCAATTTTATGGCATCTCAGTATCTCCTACTGTCAGTTGCTTGACAGGTAGCTCTCCCTCATTAACCTGAGCAGACTCTGTCATGTGCTTTTGGGGGATCTTGGGTTGCTCTAATCTCGTGTAAAACAAACTAACTAGTGCGGTGAAACGGAAAAGATGTAATATTTCAATCTATTCATGTTGCAGGAGTTTTCCTACAGAAAGGGTGATTGGCTTGTGTTTGGTTCTGAAACTTCTGGACTGTCAAATGAAGTCCTGCTTGATTGCAGTAATGAGACGTATGGTGGTGGCACCATTCGGATACCGATGGTTGAAACTTATGTTAGATGTCTTAACCTTTCTGTGAGCGTGGGAATTGCTTTGTATGAGGCGTGCAGACAGTTGAACTATGAGCAGCTACAATCATCGTCTAGCACTTCTAACGACTATGAGCAAGCGTTCATTGTGGAAGATATTTTTGCCTGAAACATTGGGGTGTTGGCCGTTGAAATTTTTTATTCTCAAGGAGACACATCAGACGTGAGCCATTAGAGATTGCAGCTTGACTATGGTTTGTGCCAGGAAGACATTCATTGAATTGGATCAAAGAAAATGCTATATGGATGCATCGTGGATCCAACTCTGACTTCATCCCAGCGCTGTCCAAATTGCCAAAGCATTGTAGAAGAGAATACAATACTTCTGTCATGAATTATTGGCTGTAGTTCTTGAAGAATGCTGGATGTCCTGCTGATGGGGTTTACGGCTTCACAAAGCTGATCCAAGCTGCTGGTGAAATGTCCATTTAGTTACCTTGTTTGTGGTAGTCAGTCTGAAAGGTTCGTAATCTTTGTTTATTAGCTTTTCTTGGATTAGGAAATAATTATTGAGAGAGAGAGTTATTGGCTAGTCCATAACCTATTACTTATCCTGAATGAGAAAAGACCGGACTCTATGCGTGACTCTTGTACACTTTTTTCGAGCGAATGAACTTGGGGTCAAAGGACCTTCTTCTGTTCTTGCAGCTCACCATTGATCTACATCCTGGGGGGATCACCATTTGTGAGGTTGTAGAAATATGCATGCAAGATTTCTCCTTGGCAAACGATCGTGTGATTTTGAATTCATGGCATAGGAATTAGGAGGTTTGGTGACTGGGAGACTGAGTGGGTAGTTCACGAGGTTCGGTAATTCGTGCAACCATGACGTTATCAGATCATAACTAGACTTCAAATTCCTTCATAGAATGGAGATATGGTGTCCTGGGACAGGCGTTGGCCACGACTGACGACTGACGAGGTCTTCTTCTTTGTTGGACAGTAAAAATTACTTGTGTTAGGAGATTGATTTTACTTACGATTGATATATTTGTCAGACTGGAATGTGAGCATTGAAGAATGAGAGGTGATGGTTTACTATTTATGAATTCCAGGATAATATAAAATGGTTGGGTTGGGTTGTTTTGTGGGACGTTGAATGCGGAATTTTAGGTAAATCTGAGTTGGTTCATTGAAGATGCTAAACCAAATTCCCGTGGCTTTCGCTATCGTGGAAGCGAGGAAAGATGCATCAGGGATTCACGTGAGGACTCTGAAATTTTGAATAATGTTCCGGATCACGACAACGCAATCCCATGTTCTCTCCCCCTGTTCTTCATTGTATGTGTCGGAAGGTAGGCCCCTCCCCTTCTACTCCCCCTGAGATCCCGCCACGTGCCTCGCTCTCTTCCCTTGATCTCATCCTCGAGTGCTGTTCCCGAAATTCAATTATAGTAATCCCACACGATACACCCCACATTATCTAATCGAATAACGATAAAGATAAGCTCGGAAGTTCGACCATTTGTGTACATACATACATATTCGATCGACCATCCCGCATTGTCTGCCTTATATGGTGGCTGACTAGCAATACCTATCAGCCAAAAACCTATCGGACGATAGAGTTCAATGCCTCGACACTCACTCGATAGACTCTCGTTGTGAAACTGCAATCGATATTTTTCGCGTTTTAATAGACGCGTCCCATTTCCAAGAACATGACAATTTGTAGCTTGACTTGACAGTATGTTTCTCTAATATTATTTCATTACAGAGAGGATTGCTTTTAGAGAAATTGCCGTCGAATGATTATGTCAGAGAAGGTGCGTTTTAACGTGAGATGATGGACCAAATGTTGGAGGCGCATAATCACATTACGTATAGGACATAAAGGGACCGATGCACTCCCCTCACATGGGACTTTGTGTGTTGTCGATATAACTTTGTTGTCTTCATCTGTCTCTCCCATTTTTATCATCACATGGGCCTTGGGGCATGACAATCGGCAGCCAAAAAGCAAAACTAGCATCCAAGTGGGGTTCCCTCTCTATCATTATTCCTTTTTTGGGGTTAAATGCACACTTCTTTACGTACCTTGGAAAAGTATCATGGCACTTTACCTATAGTTTCTAACTTTCCCCATGTCATTGATGTTAAAGTTGCAAGCCGGTCGACTCGTTTCATCTCTCTTTTGATTCAGCATCTATCCGTCTCTCTCTCTCTCTCTTGAAGAGAAGGTGGAGCGGATGATCCTGGTCCGACTATGTTCGTGTGGGCCCACTTACAATAAACGGATTAGGAATGCCGTACACGTAAAATAAACCGGGGGAAGACTGACTCCGATACCATGTTAAAAAATCTAATCCAAAAATTTAAATTGATAGGTAAAAAGTGATCACATGCGTATAAAGAGCATATAAAATCCGTAGATAAGTCGATCCTTTAACGTCCAATTTGAAGGGCAGACAAGCCATGTGCAAACGGTCATTCGCTAAAATGTGAAGCTCAGCATAGAGCAAATAGGGAGATTATGAATTGATATGTAGATAGTGATTCCCTGCGAAGTAGCGCTACACATATAGGGAGCTAAGCTTTGGTGATGGATACAATGGCTTTCGACTATGCCTGCGTTGTTTGTAATACATCATAGGTAAAGAAATTAGCATGCTCGTAGTTTGATGCCTAGGATCTCTAGATTAACGGTTTCACCAACTATACCTACAACATCTTTTCGAGGTTTCAAGTTCGATTGTGCTCGTTTTTCTACTTCGCCTAGTATCGAGGCTTCATCAAACGTTCAGATCCTCCTCTCCTAAAGGCGAATCTACTTAAAACATGAAAACGAGAAGGGCGAAGGAAGATGCCGGAATCTGGAAAGAAAAACATTATCGGACGACGTGGGAAGAAACAGAGCACATGATCTTATCTTACGATGTCCGAATCTTTCAGTCAAGTTCGGAGTGACCCTTCTTCACGTGCCCTGCCCATTTTTCCCCCGGTCCAACACAGATTCTTTTCTCACATTACAACCTTTAGCATTTCCATTAAACAATAATATTACACACGTTAAGCTCGTCGACCTGCTCTTGACGGGTCCTGAAACGACGACGACGACGACCACCACACCCATGTAAAAAAAAAAAAACCAAGAATGAATTAGGATTAACAAGTCCTCAAGGGATTCCCGCACAAACAGTCGTTGTTGGCGAACGACGACGCTTCCAGGTGCTCGAACGGCTCGCCAATGGGGATGGCCCCGCACAGGTGGTTGTGACTCAAATCCAAGTGACCGATGTACTTGGCCGACGACAGCGATCCCGGGATCTTGCCCTTCAAGTTGTTGTGCGACAAATCCAGCACCATGAAATACGAGCTCGCCCCGAACACGTCCGGGATCTCCCCCTCGATCCAGTTCCGGCTCAGGTTCAGTATTCCCATGCCCGTGTCGCTCAACAGGCTCGCCGGCAGCTTGCCCGACAGCCAGTTGCTGTCCAGGTTCAGCGTCGACAGCACCCGCATTTTGCCCAGCTCCTCCGGGACCCAACCGCTGATATGGTTCATCGACAGGTCCAGGTCCGCCAGCCTGTAAATGGTGGCTATCGAGCTCGGGATCGTCCCCGTCAGCTGGTTCCGGCCCAGCAGCGCCCGGCTCAGCATCGTCAGCTTCCCGAAGTCCGCAGGGATCCCCCCCGATATCCTGTTGTTCCTGAGGTCCAGGTGCATGAGGCTCGACATCTGCACGATCGACGCCGGGATCTCCCCGGAGATCTCGTTGTCCGCCAGGTTGAGGACCGTGACGCGCCGGAGGTCACCGATCGCCGCGGGAATGCGGCCGGAGATCTTGTTGCCGACGAGGTCGAGGACGCGGAGGGAGGAGAGGGAGGTGATGCAGGGGGGGATCTCGCCGGAGATGCCCTTCCAGTCGGCGAGGATGAGGTTGGTGAGTCGGTCGAGGCGGCAGACGGAGGGGTTGATGGTCCCGGTCATGTAGCCGGAGCGGCCGGCCTTCTCGAAGATGGGGTCCTCGGACTCACCGCGGAGGTTGATGTCGGCGACGCGGGCGTTGGTGGGGTCGCAGCTGACGCCGTACCAGTTGCGGCAGCAGTCGGTGCCGGTCCACGTCTTGAAGATGCCCAGGTAGGGCTCGTTCAGCGACGCCTTGAACGCCAACAGAGCATCCCTGTCCGACGCCGGACAACCGGTCACGGCCCAAGCAAACGCCAGCAGCAATGCAGCACCGAACGGCAGCCTCATCTCCGCTATGTGTGTGAAGCAATGCGGTCGTGAGCGGGAGTGCAGGGAGTGATGAGAGCGAGGGAGAGCTAATATGCAGAGTGAGAAAGATGGGGGGGAGGTTGGTGGTGGCATTTTCTCGTCTGAGCTCTGAATTTAATGAGGTTCTTTGGACCGAAAAGCCCCTGGCATAGTGTCGTAAATTGCGAGCAGGCCGGGGTCGGCTACAATCGCACATGCAGGATGCAAAAGATCGTGTCGCCTCTTCTTTTGCTTTTTCTAATTAAATCGTTGTTGATGGGGATAATGGTCTTGCATGTGTATTAACCTGAAAAACCTTAGTCCGCATTTCCTTATTAATATCAGATTCTTGCTTTTCCACATCAGTAATTCCTTTTTCTCGTTTCTTCAATTCCATTTAATTACGAAGAATAATTATCATCGATAAATGTATCACAAGGAGATTCTTTAGAATTATAATTATATTTGAAACACTTCGCATCTTCCATACTTCTACTTTGCGTGCAAAACAATAGTTAACAACATAAGCGGATTTCCCATGAATTGAAGATATTGACCATACTTTATCCTAACAAAAATTAGCAGCACATAACACAACATGTGGTGGCAATGGGGCCAGTGGGATTTGGAGGTGAAGGCCCAGAAATCCCAATGATAATGAGAGTCGCATTATTTTTCCCGGATCCAATGATTAAAGCCACGTTCATTTTGATCATACCCTTTTTCACCTTTTTCACCGAATGACAAAAATTGACGCTGCCGATTTTCAAGGGAGACGGAGAGAAAGCAAGATAGAAAGTCTGCTTTGGGAACATGGCTGCTCCCCCAATCATCTATCCTAATTTACCGTTTGCATCAGCCAAAAGCAACGGGAAGACCCCAGATTATCTTCTGCTTTACCGTCTCGAATTGCATGGATTACTATATCGGATCTCAATTTTTCTACTCGTACAAGCAAGAGCTTTTTAGCAGATGACAGTCATGTAGCTTGATCTACGAACAAAGCGAAGCAACAAATTTACACCGTTACCCCGATTCTGAATCTCGCATATGTAGCAACTCGATCCCCGTACCTTTCCTGAGAAGAAAGAGAAAATGCGATCAGAATAAAGATTGGTTCAATCATTTCAGATATTGATCGAGACAAATTAAAAGGGCAAAACTAATGATGACCATTATCAAACCGGAACTTCAGGAGCTAGATAGACGGAAAATTTCCAACAGGCAACCCCATTGCAAGACGATCGCGTTAATAGCAGCCTCTTCAATTCATCCTCTTCACGGTGATGGATAGGATAGCCGCAAATTTTGCGGGCAGAAAACCGATGGATGGGCCAGTGTTGGGAATAGACTAAAGCTCCAACATTAAATTCGAATCACCAGAGCCTTCCCTACTTCGCCTGACGTCCGTATTCAATGCATGTCGCCCTCTCCAGAGCTCAAGATGGAAAATTCATGAGAGCTATGGCCTGAAGCTTCATAAAGCCATCATGGAAAATGCTCTCCTATGTCGTCATAAAGCTATGACCTTGACCGAAGTTTTATAGGGACGTTCGAGTTTCAACGAGGTCGCACGAGATTCATTGGGGGTGGAGAAGTGGGTGCCGATGGCAAATCTTACGTCCATCTTCGCTAAATGGCCTGCAGGTTTTGCGGAAGCTACATCCAAGATACCAGATTGGGTCTTCAAGTGGAGGCCCCATTTTTAATTGTGAGTAGGACTTCCAGACCAGCCCAAAAGATGACCCAGAGGAAACCCGGTGTCATCATTACACAGAGGTGTACAAAACTTTGGCAATGTGGGAGATCCGCAAGAAATATAAAACCCCACAACCAAGGCTGATGCTTTCGGTGCGGGATCCGACATCTCATATACATTTTACAATTAGCATCATAATGAACATCTCCGTGATTTCGAAGGTATCGCCGCACACTCTAGAACAAAGATAAAGTTTCTTCTAGTCGATCGGGCGCGCTACTTATACCGATTCTCAGGAATTATGTATCGTGTTCTGCTAAGTAAAATGTTGTTGTTCGTTCTCCAACTCCAGGAGCCTGTGTTGCCTTCATAATCTGGCGAAAGTTAATTAAGAAGGAAGCAGCGATCGAGGGGCTTAGGGTGTGTAAGATAATGACAGCGTCCTAATGATTTGGTTTCTGCACCAATGCATGAAACAATTAAGATGTTCCCTCTCCCATCGTATATTACTATCATGCTTCCCCCATTCATTTATTAGAATTCTCGCCAATCAACTGACAGAACGAAAGAATATGCAACTCCCCCACCAAGCACCGCCATTATTTTGTAGGAAGTACCAACATGAATATTCCCCCATTTTAATCTACTCGATTTTTTTAATTGAGGTTCGCCGATGTGGCTATAAAGGGGGAAACACACCCATTAAGTAATGTTTTTCCTTGTGTTTGATATCAAATAATGCCCAGCTCTTTGACTATCGACTCGGGCTGAGAAAGAACGAGTGAAACACAATACAGATGAAAATTTGCCGAGTTTTGAAGGCTGTCTTGTAGTCGACAAAGTAAGTGGCTTTAGTCTATGAAATATATAACAGGGAATAACCAAGTCTTCGAGCATGGGCGTCCGTAGTCGACAAAGTAAGTGGCTTGCAAAATGCTGGTGCTGCCTAACCACACGAGCGATGAACTTTATATTTCACGACATGATGGACAAATACGCTGAGGTTTAGATTGATAATGTTGACTTCAAATCTGATGAGGCAAGTCGTCTTAATTATCTTGAGCTTGCTTTTAGTAGGATGAGAAATTAAATATTCTTTATTATGAAATTTCTAAAATGTGCTTTTGGAGCAAGAGCTGATAATTTCTTAGGATTCCTTATTAATAAAAGAGATATCGAAGTAGATAAGAATAAAAATAAGGTAATTCTAGAATTACCGGCACCGAAGACGAATAAAAAATTACAAATAATAATCGGTAAGATAATTTTGTACGTCTATTTGTTGCTAACTTGTTTGGTAAAAGAGAAGTTTTCTCTCCTATGCTCAAGTTGAAAAATCACGAGCAATTTGTAAGGGGGGAGAAACGACAAATTGTCTTTGATCGAATCAAAAAAATATTTGACTAACCCAGTTGTATTCATGCCACCTAAAGCAGGTAAACTATTGAAATTATACTGGTCGGTAATCGATGAGGCAAATGACAAAAAGGCAAGAGCAAGCGGTGTACTACATTAGTCGAATGTTGGATGATGCTAAGAGGTGGTACACCGTGGTGGAAAAATTATGCTTGTCTTTTATATTTTGCATGTATTGAGGTATGGTATTTCTTGTTGCCGACTACAACTTTTGTATTATTGTAAAATAGATGTCATAAAACATATGATTTCAAGGCCAATCATTGGAGGCCGAATCAGTAAATGGGCTTTTGCTTTGTCTGAGTTTTATCGAGTCCATTTCCTCTTGAGGACAGTAAAGGGGACAGGCCATTGTCGATTTCCTAATCGAGTATCTACGCGTGCACACGAAAGAGCATGAGGATGGAAACTTCACATAGGCAGTGCCATGGACTCCGTATTTAATGGATCATGTGCCAATTATTCATCCAATGTCATAATATTATTAATTTATCCTAAAGGATATAGAACAAGATTCATATTCAAACTGGATTTCAACGGTACATAACTTTTGGACCGTGACCCGAGACGGATCAAAAGAGCCTACGTCTAACACGTGTCGAAAGCAAAAATAAGTTTTAACGAGATATGGAACTTAGCATCGGGGGAGATCCGAAAGATATGTAAAGGTCCACGTTCAAGGTTCATACTTTCGGTTATTAGGATCCGATATCTCATAATGTATTTTGCAATTAGGATCATACCCAACATCTATGTGATTACGAATGTGTCGGATCACGCCCTAAAATAAGGACGCAGCTTCTTTCTTCTAGCCTAGCGCGCAACTAACATATCGATTCGCATTAGTGGTGTGTTACGTTTTTGTTAAGCAAATGTTGTTTCGTTCTCCAGCTCCCAGAGGCTGAGAGGCACGTGTAGCCTTCATAATTTGGGGGGGAATCAAGGAGAAAGCAGCCAGCATTAATTAGGGCGGATTAGATAATGACAATTGACAGGGTCCTCATGATTTGGTTTCTGCGCCACTGCACGAAGCAATTAGAAAAGGAAGATGTTCCCCTTGTCATCGCATCTTATTATCATGCGTTCCCCTATTTATTTTAATCAAGATTTCTCGGGAATCAACTGACAAAAACCAAAAGAATATGTCATTACCCCCCACCAAACGCCACCATGAATATTCTCCCGTTTTTAAACCTTACCGAATTATTATTATTAATTATTTATTTATTATAGAGGTTAGCTAATGTGCTTGAATGGGGCGGGGGACATGACATGCAGCACCCAATCAAGTCCTCTGTGTTTTTAACCCTTTGTTAAATATGCGTAGGTGTTATCCTTAAAGGAGGGAGACAAAAGCTTCCCCAATTCGACTCTCCATCGCTAATAATTGGATTCTAGTGAGATTTGAAAGGGGGAAAGTTCCCAAAGGCAGTTCATTCCCTCACCAAAGGATTGGGGGGAGCATATGTAAGATTTACTAGCGATGAGAGAGTAATCAATGGGCCAATTAATTCGAACGATCACTTACAGACCGTGCCACGAATTAGCGGATATGTCGGATTTGGTGGCATCTCTTCTCGCATTTTACTTGTTCCGGTGGCAAAAATCCCAAATGGAAAACGCCGACGATCCATCCGTCTCCAGCGTCCCAAAACTCGCCCGCTCCAATCCGGCTTTCACGCTCCCTGAAAGCTTACGCACGTCCAAATCCAGCGACCAAAAAAAAAAAAGAAGAAAAAAAAAGAGGGGGGGGGGAAAAGATCGAAGCAGGGCATTTTCTCCCCCCCCTGCTGTGCAAATGCGACGAAGCATCTTCCACCCCCGCACCCGTCATCTCATGCCCGACTCAGCTCCACGTAAGCGGGCGCCACCTGTCGGCTCGCGATTGGCCGAACGTCCCTCGGGAGGGCTTTTCAGCTCCCTCAAGGGTCGCGCCAACGCCCCCCGTTTTTTTTTTTTTTTTTGTATTAGCTCCGCTTTCATTATCTGACAACCTGTACAGCCACGCCACACGCGCCCCCGCGGGTGCGTCGTTCGTGTAGTGTAGTCCCCCCCCCCCCCCCCCCTTTGGGACCAATCCCAGCCGTTGGATCCGCAATTTTGGCCGTCGAGATCATCACGTCCCCATCGTCCCCCCTTTCATTATTCTAAAGCCGCTCAACCAATTACCCTACGCCATCACCAACCTACTTTTCGTCACGGCTTTTTCGCTCAACTTTGGTGCGCGTCTACGTGGCGCCCCCTCACTGGGCCTTTTCCGCCCCCGCGGCTCGATATTTTCGTCACCTCATTCTCTCGCGAGAAACGCCGAGCAGCGGGGGCGGCGTGCCCGAGCTCCGCTTCCCCGGACCCCACCGACTTTTCCCATTCCCCCCGAGAATTGCTACTTACCGCGGTCATCCGATACGACGACAAGACACGATACAAACAAACGCGATATTATCACGTTAATCTCGTCGTCGGGGCGCCATTCGCAATTCGCCTTTTTATTTTCGTTTTTTATCGCAAATGCGCGACAGACGTAACCACGAGTGGCGATTGCAATTTGAAGGGAGAAAAGCAAGGATCCACCAGCCTCGACGAGCATCGCAAACCACAATAATCTATTTAATTTTCGTTTCCCCAGGAGGATGATTTGAAATATAAAGAAGAAGAAGAAGAAGAAGAAGAAAAGCTAAAAATCACAAGGGAAAAAAAAAATTAAAATGGAAAAGAAAAAGGGACAATCAGAGATTGGCAAGAACAACGAGAACAAAGCGATTTTGGGTTTGATCTTCGATATCTTCAGATCTGGTATAGGATTCCTTCACGTCCCCCCCTTCCTTCCTTCCTTCTCCACCTTCCGTCCGAACGCGCTATCCGTCAACCGTTTTGTTCGAGAAAGCAAAAGCGAGATCCGGGTCTCGATCTCCTCAGAATTTCGGGGTTTTCTTTCCTTCGGCTCCTCCGTCCTTTCCTTTTTTTTGGATTCCCTCCTCCGGATCGATCATCAGACTCTGACGATCTTCGCGGCCTTGACCACCGGGTTTTCCCTCGCGATCGCCTCCCGTCCGGCCGCCTTGTAGTCGTAGCTGCAGTCGTGCCGATCGGAGTACCGGTGCTCCGCGCAGAAGAGCTCGCCGCACCGGCACCGGAACCCGGTGAGGCCCACCTTCCGCCGGCACCCGGAGCAGCGGTTCACCTCCCTCCTGGCGTTTGACTCGGTCAAGGGAGGCGAGGCGGACGTCTCCCTCCTGCTCGTCCCCGTCGCGAGACCAGATCGGTCGGGCGACCTGGAGGAGCCCGATCTGTGGATCTTCTCGGCGGAGAACTTGAGGACCGAGGTGCCGCCGGTGAGGACGGCGGCGGCGGAGGAGGAGGCGGTGGGGGCGGAGGAGGAGGAGGAGGAGGTGGCGTTGAAACATTTCTGGCACATGTTGTTGGTGGCGGGATTACCGGCGAGGCCGCAGTTGTTGATGCAGAGGGTCAGGGCCTCGGGCACCTTGAACTCCGTCTCCTCCTTCTCCGTCCTCTGGGCCATTTCCGACGAGGTCGATATCTAGACAGAGAGAGAGGGAGGGAGGGAGGGAGGGAGGGAGGGAGGAGATGATATCGATGGGGGAGATCGAGAGATCTCGAGGGAGAGAAGAGGCAGAAGGGGCCAAGGCGACTGGGGGCGGTGGGAGGGGGGAAGAGAGGATGCCGGGGATATTAAGGGGGGAGGAGGAGGAGGAGGAAGAGGAGGAAGCGGTCGGTAATGGGGCGATGGAATATGGGCCTCCTTCATACGGACGCGTTTCAAACATTGTTTTGCTCCAACCGCGACATAATGACCGAAATGACCCCGCGGCCACCCTCCTTTTTACCCTCGTTCTAGTAGATTGGTTCTTTGTCCTCTTCGCCACTGACGTCCCGCATTTTTATTACATTCGTACAATAATTATACAAATACCCCCTCTCCTCTCTCTCTCTCTCTCTCTCTCTCTCTCTCTCTCTCTCCTTTTTCTTTTTTTTCTTTTTTTTTTATAACTTGGAAAAAGATGTGTCCGAATTCTGAAAGTGGACCCCCCCCCCCCCCCCCCACACCGCACCCCCGGCGTTGTAAATTGCCAAATTGGATTTGTTTTCCCCCTTTTTCTCCTTTAATAAATTTCTATATTTTTCTCTCTCTCTCTCTCTCTCTCTCTCTCTCTCTCTCTCTCTCTCGTTTTTTTTTCCTCTGCGAAAGAGATTGCTTTGGGACGACCGACAGGGACGTGGCGGTTGTTCGACGGAGCATATATGGCGGTAAGGATGGGAACGGGGGGAGGGGGTGGGGCGGGGGGTGGTCATGAGTCGGTCTCGATTAAATGAATGCCCCCCGCCCGCCCCCCTCCCTCCCTCCCTCCCTCCATAGCTGTCCGTCTAATCTCCTTTTGGAAAAAATCATCCTCCACTTTATTATTCATTCAACAATCTTTTCTTATATGCAATAATAAACGCGAATTGAATTTTACTGATGATGTCTCCCGCATACTTTGCTCAGCAATCGTACCTAAAGGATCACGCCCCTCGATTTTAGAGGACTCGTAACCATTCTCGTGATGTTCTCGAGATACGGAAACATTTATCATTTTTATGCGCTAGATGCGAGTTAAGTGCCCGCCGACATGAATGAGAAGCGCAAAAAACCGGAAACTTGATTGATGATGATCGCGTCTCGTTTTTCGCCGACATGCAATGTCAAGAATAATATGGAAGCGAGGAAGCCGAAATGAATCTTTCGGCGAACCATATCGTGGCTGGAAAAATAGAGCGGAGGAGACGAGACGAGACGATTGGATTGGTCGTCACGAAAATAACGGGCGAGATTTCCCAATTCCGGATCTAAATCAACGTCCCGGTTACCGCTGCGTTTATGAATTTCCGGGCACATATTTCAGAAAGGGCAAGCCTACGATCATCCTACGCAAGAATTTAGTATGCACATACATCGGCAACTGTGGTATTGTATTTTCGGGTCAATTGAAGGGATATTATGTATGTATTTATGTAACCCATGCCGCGAGGGGAATATAATACATGCAATAATTGGGTTAGGAGGCGAGGAAGGTCGGAATAATGAAACCCAAAATTGGATGGGGAGGGCTTGCCGGGCAAGCAAAGCAAAGCAAAGCAAGGCAAAACCACTCCTCTCCTCTTTGTTTTTTTTTTGTTTGGTCAAGTGGGGGTTTTGATCTCGTCAAAAAGCACGCAACGCTGCCCACTTGCATTATTTGTTTATTCATAAAATGAAAAGAGGGGCTCCAAATTGGAGAGGGAGGCGAAATTACAGAAATGGGCTCCCTCGAGAAAGTACGGAGGGTCAAATTTGGGAACTTGACCATGAGGAGGGAGGGGGGGGCGGCCCTCCATCTGAAACTGTCTCTCTCTCTCTCGCTCGCCACGCGCTACACGTGTGCGTCCACCGCGTCCTGCTGACTTTTTTTGACCCACCTCCCTCCACGTCACTCTCACCTCCTCATTTTTCTTTTTTCCCCTTTTTTTTTTTTTTTAATCCGTTGGAAAGAGAGAAGAAGCCGCGATTGAAATTCACCCCTCCATTTCGTGGGATGTTGCTCTGCCTCTTCCATCACCGTCCTTTGGCTCAAGTTCCTTCCTGACAATTGTTTTGTTGACATTTCAGCATTCATCCTTTTATCTCTACCGGAATCTTCAACGGGTTGTCCTTATTATTATTACAGATCCACTTAGATAGAAATGGCACCCGGATTATCTACATCCGCAACGCATTATAGTAATTATATCCCGCCACCTCGTCACATGTCAATAAGACCGCGAATTTTATCTGCGAATATCCAATTACATTTGAATATCGATTATGTCGGCGAGTTGTGAAATTCATCGATATGATCCATTGATTAATAGTTATATTTAGGATAATAGTTACGAACGTGCAATTGATTTGCCACCACATGCTAGCTATTGACTTTCGAAATGCACCCTTATTATGGATACGAAGATACTGTAGATACTTGGGAAATCTTGATGTGTTTTTATCATTGTGCACGCGCCGTTGCTCTTGACAAAAAAAAACCATCGTGTCCCCCTCGCAGAAAATGAAGAAGGTTGACATCCCAAGTTCCTTCTTCTTTCTATGTGAAGGTCGTTTTATACATCATCGATGGATCGATCATATTTACTTTGACTTTTGGGCTGTAGCATGAGAAGAAGTCAAGAAGTGTAGAAGGCACCCCCCCCAACGAGGAGGCATTTTGCTTTCTTTTTATTGCATTCTATCCAAACGCATAAGGAAACACACGGACACGAGAAGAGACAGACGAGACATCTCAGATGCGACAACCGGAAAGCTCTTATTCAACAAATCAAGCTGGCCTCTCTTCCTCCATTTTGTGTCGATACGATGGTGCCTAGTGCAAGTAGTAGGCGATGAAGGACACGAGGGAGGCGCCCACCAAGGATCCGACGGCTGGCAAGCTAGCGACCGCCCCGCTCGGGGAGGGTGCGGGGGCCTCGTGGCCCTCGTGGGCCATCACCGCGCTCATGGAGGCAGCGGCAAAGAGGACTGCGCAGGCAATCTTCTTCATTTCCATTGCGGCGCGACCGGCGAAGAACCTCACGAGCTGTTCTTTTCGAGTCGGAAGGAGAGATTGATCGCCGAATCACGCTTGGAATGCAGCCTGAGGGAAATATGGGGAGGGGAAGGGCGGTCTCTTATAGGAGGCGGGGTAGAGAGAGCTCTTTGACGAGAACGTGACAGTTGTTGCTCTCCACAATGTGTGGGTTGATCTATGAATTGGAATGGCGCGGAGAGGTTTGCTCGTCGCGGTTGAACGAATCTCGCGTCTGATTTTGGTTTAGAACAGATGCATTGGTATTGTTGGCAAAGGGCAGGCCGCGAATGCCAGAGTAGAGCTTCTTTCTTTAGAGAGAGTCGTATACTTTAGTGGGACTCCCAAAAAAGTCTCTCTTTTTTCACAAACCCATATTGATACTGGGCTGGGCCTTGAAGAATCCAATGATCATTGAGATATACGGTTTCGAAGTAGGATTGGGCTCTGCGCTTCGACAAACCCAAGCATTGTTTAGGCATGTACAAGCGCCAGAGAGAGAGAGAGAGAGAGAGTGTCAAGAAGACTTGGGAAGACCCAAAAGCCCGACTTTACTTCCAAGCAGAAACAAAAGCACTTTGAAGCTAAGCAAATAAAAACCTAGGATTGAAGAAAGAGCACGCACGTATTGTGTCCGTCGTGTGTTTTTTGTCGGTTCCTTAGCGGTATCCAGCTCGCCCCCCTCGGCATGTTCTCTTCAAAGCTGAGCATATGATGATGCTGCTCATGGGCCCCCGCTCACTTCTCTCCCGCTATAAGGAGTACCCACAGCGCTCGTAGACTCTCCACACAATTCACAGCAAACGCGCGCGCATATTCCTTTCCCTGTTAATTCTAGCCATGGCGCCAGCAGCAACTGCATTCAATTCGGTTCTCTTGGCCACTTATGTCGTTGCGGTTGCTCTTCTTTCCATGCCCGCCGCAACCCGCGTTTCAGCTCAAGGTTTGGAAATGGTGCCGTCGCCTGCCATCTCACTGGACACTGGATCAGCTCTCTCTTTGGGTGTGTCCGGAGCTGCCATCCTATGCTCTTTCTTGTTGGCCGCGCTCCATCTCTTCTTTGGCAACTGAATTCCACCGCGCCTTTGCATCGGATCCGGTGCATCGTATCATCTTTGTTGGATGCTTTCAGCCCGATCAAGGATGTGATTTACGTACATATTTATTATCTTCATTTGTCATTTTTTCTTCTTTTGCATTCCTGTGTGGCAGAGATCGACACATTACACACAGGGAACTACAGAGATCCATTCGTGTTTATACATGTACTCTCCCCATATAGCTTCACAATAATGAACAGAGGAGCATACACCTATTGCTGATAGGAACATTCTTTTTCCTGCGTTCTTTGATTTTCCTTTCGCGATAATTTGTAGAATACATAGATGTCCACATATCCGTCCATCCACATAACACACGCGCACGCATGCACACAAGATTGGACCTTCCTCAGTATAATCATCCTGTGCATAGTCTAACAATCAAAAACAATCTTTGTTTACTTCTCCAGTCCAAACGATAAAACCCGTTTACGCGAATCCAAGTACAGGTGGAACAGGTCTATCATAACCATCTATCATATGAGCCGCACATAATCAATAATTTCTTGTGAGGGAGCAATAATGGCAGTGGGTCGTTTATGATGGGTATGTGACCATTACTATTTTGTGTGAATAGGAGTAAGCCGAACCGTTCATGCATTGTCCACAAGGGCCACAACCTATTGAACCAGTTCATCACATACGTACCATTTCATTAGCACCTTCTACTATTTTTCAAGTGGAAGAAGCCAATGGCTGTTCAAACTTCTACAAAAGTGATTAGTGTAAGAGTGGTTAAGTCGTCATGTTTAGGAAAGGGAAATATCAAACAGGGACTCATACCATTAGACTCCACAGCTATTTCCAATCACAAGTTCGAATTCGGTACTCGTTATCATGACATTAGACAAGACCTCCATTATAACAAGATTTTGGAAAGGTAAAAGTTATTGGAGCCTGCCAAATGCGTTTGCTTTTGCTTTTCTTAAGCAAAAACTTTTTTTTACTCTCATTTTTTCTGCCGAATTTCAAATTATTACTTCAGCTTAAAAAAATTGCCAAAAAAGTTATAAAAGAATTCCAGTCGATATTCCTATAATTTATTTTAAAAAAGTCAAGGTGTTCCGCATTTGAATTAAAGTCAAAGCCACACTTTTGGGTTAAAGAGCCAAATTAGAAAGCCCTTTTCAAATATTGCTACCTTTAAGCATTTGTTGTGTGAGAAGCAAAAGCGTAATTTAGAAATATATCCCCGCCCAATTGCAATGCTTCGGATTCTCGGAAGGTTCCAATGAGTTGGCAAGCTGCCATTGGTCGCAGATAATTGCCCACCACATCCCAAAATGACGTCATAATTGGCGAAGAGTTTTGGATAAGAGAAAAATCATCGCCTACCATTGCAGAAACACCCCACATCCACCAATCCTCCTCCTCCACCACCATGGCAACTTCACTCTCACCACCCACCATCCTCTCCTCCACCACCGCCGCCACCAAATCGGCCCAAGCCCCCCTCACCGTCGCCACCAAAACCCACATCTCAGCCCACCCCAACAAACACCCCTTCCCGGGCTCGGCCGCCGGTCTTGCAGCCACTGCCCTTGCCGCGGCCACCATACTCACCACCACGCCACCTTCGCTAGCCGACTCACCGCCAGCGACCTACCACCTCTACTACGGCACAGCAGCCAGCGCCGCCAACTACGGGGGCTACGGCGGCAATGCCAGCAAGATGGACACGGCCGAGTACGTCTACGACGTGCCCGACGGTTGGAAAGAGCGGCTGGTCACCAAAGTGGAGAAGGGCACCAACGGGACGGACAGCGAGTTTTACAACCCCAAGAAGAGGACGGAGAAGGAGTACCTGACTTTCCTTGCCGGTTTTGGGCAGTTGGCTCCGAAAGACATCGTGCTGAACAATTTGGCTCTGTCCGACGTGGATTTGCAGGACCTGATCGCCCGTGCCGACAACATATCATCGGAGGAGAAGAAGGATGAGAAGGGGCAGCTGTATTACGTGTACGAGATCGATGGGACCGGTGCTCACAGCTTAATCTCTGTAACCTGTGCCAAGAACAAGCTCTATGCCCACTTTGTGAATGCGCCCGCTCCCGAGTGGAATCGGGACCAGGAGACCTTGAGGCACATTCATGAGTCCTTTAAGACTGTCGGATCCTCTTAGAACTTCTTCCCTGAGAAATTTGTATTCTGGGTGATGAGTTTTGTAAGCTCTTTCGAGTTTGACAATATAATGTGTATCTCTATATATACTTGTATCAAAGTCTTGTAAACCAATCGCAACGCAGGTTCCTTCAAACCAGTTACGTCGGATTTTGCAATGTCTGCTCTTACGCTTTACTTGGCACTCCAGCTTTGGCAAAGCATTTGCTACTTGAACAAGATAAAGTAACGCTAATAACTTTTCTACTGCTGCTGGACGCTCAACAGAAGATTGCTTCTAGGAAAGATATGTTACAGGTACAACAGTTGCTGACAAACGCCAATCTTCAAACTTGTCACCGAGCAGACCAAAGACAAAAGAGAAAATCACGATACAGCCAGCAAACTGCATACTATTCTTATACATTAAATGATCCAGTATGAACTACCACATGTCAGCATACAGACTGATAATTTCTGCAATTCTTTCCCTAGTCACACCATACCTGCGAATACAGATCCATCACTTGGGATGTTTGGAAAGGGGAAATGAAACTCTCTGCGGCATACTCTGTGGCACATCTGTTTTCTGCTCCTGTGATGGATTGGCATCGCTTCTTTCATCTTCTTCTGCTTCTTCCAGTGCCTGAGCAGATTGCCTCCTCGGGATTGCAAGTTGGTAATTTGGGCTGATCAGCGTGTCCTGTTCTGGAGGAAGTGGAATACCGGGACCTGATATTGTCTTTGGTAATGGAATCTTGTTCCTGTTTCTAGCCAATTCCAGTAAGACCTGATAGACAGTAACATCATCATTGGTTTTTGACAGTCTGGTACAATAACATCAAACAAGTAAAACACGAACACCAGACATATAACTGCAAGTTCACACACATATGCCTTCAATAATTAATGAATTAGACTAACTGAGCATTCAACAGCGAACACAAATGTCCGCACTTCGCAAAGACAGATGTGTGCAGCTTAAACATTTTGACTTCATGGTCTCCACAGGTCAAATGCCATGGAGAAAATGGATAGTTAAGACATGCCAAATGCCATCATGCCAAGACAAAGTTCTAGCTGGGAGTCAACTTTAGCTCAGGTTGAATGGACTATACACTATAACCTAATATGGTTTCTGCTTAATGGTCGGAGTTCCATTTACAAATTCACTCGATCAAGAAACTGCCACGGCTGATATGAACAAGACATCATGATTTGAAACAGAGGATCATCCATGGTCATATGGACATATGTTCAATGATAACAAATCTATACAATTAACAATATAAACACTTTACACACCTCTCTTGGAGGAGGCTGGGAAAAGGTGAAATTAACTTTTGACTGGACTGCAAGCTTAACATCATCGCAATCAATTGCAGCCTTGCCAGCATGCTCGGAGTAGACCTGTGCATCTGTTAATACGTCAACTACATACCGGTACCACAGCTCCAAGAATTGGTGTATAACGCGAGGTTCATACTCCTCAACACCCATTGATTTCAGCAGTGACTTCACAACCCTGGCATCTCTTGGCAAGTCGCTGTCTTTCTCCGCCATCGCCTCTAAATGTCTATGATGACTGCATAAAAGGACAGCACACAGATATCAGAAAGATGTAAAAAGCAGATATGATCACTTTGTTTTTAAAAAGGCAGGATAAGAAAAATGAGTTGTGGGAGCTTAATTCCCTCAGGTTAAAATGACATCGTAGTTGGAATTAAGATTACTAAGTAATTATTGAGGGACTTGCTTTGAATTGATACATAAACATGAAGTACAAAATGACTCAGTTTCACAAAAGAAAAAAAGGGGGAAAATGTTATGCATGACGAGCCTAACAGAGAACCACACTAATACTAACATGAGAAATTCTCTGTTAGCAACAGAATTTTGCTGGAGAGGGTCAAGGAAATGTTACAATGAGCTATACTTTTCATAGATCATGATGCCTCCAGTGAATCGTACTAAATTGAAAATGCGAAAGAAACTCATTATAATCACAATGGGAAACGGAAATACTGGTATAGCCCAAAGGTTTCATTGGGGGAAAAGAAATCAAGTCTTCTTGGTCCTGCAACTTGATTCTGCCAAAGCTCCATCAACAACAGTAGCTAACACAGCAATTACCCATCTGGCATTTTTTCATCAGGAGGGGAGCTACAGGAAACACAAAAAAATTGCATTGCACTGTGACATCTTTACGTCCACCCATCTAGAAGTTCTCAGTTTGCATCAGCAACATAACCAGCCGAACACCAAATAGAGTGAATGTCAAATTACAAAAGTATCACTTAAAAAAGGCGACGAGAAATGCCAACTCGCCCAACATATCTCGAAAAAAGCTTTGCACGAGATGAATAAGGGAAATTGCTCTTCTGTTAAATACATCAAAGGGAAGAAACTCCAATCCGAAATTGGCAATCTCAATGCAATGCCCTCCCAGCAGCTTCAAATAAGAACACACAAACGAATGGACATTTGTATGACCCGTTTAACTAAAAATCGAACAACAGGGACTCTTCATCGCTCTCGGACAACACGCCATCCGAACTAGATTAACGATACAAAAAGGAAGTGCATACAGAGAGGAGATAATCACTAACCCCAATGATATAGAGATAGAGAAAGAGAGAGAGAGAGATTGCGACCTGGAGATGGAGAGACAGGGCGTGCGACTGCGAGAGAGTGCGATTGAAGAAGAGTGAATTTGAATTCCAGGTTTAAGAAGCCTCCTGAACTCGCTCGAGTCTGAAATCAGACTTGTTGAAATTCTTGAAACTCTCTCTCTCTCTCTCTCTCTCTCTCTCTCTCTCTCTCTCTCTCTCTCTCTCTATCTCGAGCTTCACCAAATGCAAATCGTGCTCACCCCTGGTAGCTTCACCGACGTAAATCGGAGATGAGCGACGATCCAGAGGGATTCCTGCTCTCTCTCTCTCTTCTCTCTCTCTCTCTCTCTCTCTCTAGGTTTTCAGGCTTCTTCCCCGATTTTGAAGTTTGTTTAAAAGAAGGAACGCTCCATTTTGCTTCTTGCAAAAAAAAAAAATAGTTCGCTCGAAAAATACAAAATAATATAAAAGGTCGAAACTTTTATCCTTTTTTGTTTTAAAGAGACAAGCATGTCAACGAGTCCTGTAAATTATATGCCCGGACAATTAATTTAGGAGATGTCGTTGTGAAATTTATTCTCGTTAAATAAATTCTCCTTTTTTTTTTAATAGTTGATGCTCTTGAGACATTATATGAATGAAGAGAGGCTTCGAAGATGGCGCACCGATGACCAAAGTATAAATAGATAGATCCAGCTGTAAATCAATATATGTTTTCGAAATGTCCATTCTTGTTGAAATTTTTCAATTCCACGAATCAAGCAATTTTTTAATAAAATAATTGCAAACAAAAAAATTATTTTCATTTTTATAAAATTAAAAATGTTTTCGTGAATTAAAAATCCACAGTTTTACTAAAAACAAGGTTGTGTGGAGTCCATAAAGGGTAATACAAGAAGTAAGCGTCCTAAGCTATATCCCAGATATTTCAATAATTTCAAGGTATTATCTTTTTCAGTATTACATGTAGTTAGTAAATGGAATATGCTTAACAAATGTCTCGAGAATACTTATTGGTAATATTCACTAAAAAATTAATCAGGTGAATTACTTAAAAGAAAGCGAAAAAAGCAAAGAAAACTTCAAAAAAAGAAGTAGGAAGCTTAAGTTGACTTGCATGGTCCAATCAACACCGCCTCGCCTCTCAACACATCTTAATCACGACTCACCCACATGCCACGCGCACTATGGGATTGTCTATGGTTATATCATCGTATCATTTTGTACAACACAACCAAAAGCCAGTTATCGTCGCGCATTCTTTTATAATTTAGATGACTAAGGTGCTTTTGTACTGCCCGGTCGGTCTCAATGCCATTAAACTTAAAAATTATCGAAAACGAAGCTTTTCACCCTAGGCATGACAATTCGTCACATGAATATCATAAAAAGTTCTTAACAAATGTCGGTACGGCAAAATGGTGTACATCTTTTTAACATAGTCTTATAATATCAAAAATTACGCATACTATAACTTCGGCCTGGATTAACACAAAACATTCATACAGTCATATTGAATAAAATTGCTAATTTACGACGATATGATATGTTCCTAATTTACAATGGTAGAGATGAAGTGGTAAGCCTTTCCCCAAATTTATCGTGTATATTAAAAAAGTAATGTATGAGATTCCGCTCTAAGTACGACAAAATGTTGTGTGCCTTGGTAATACGCTATTCAACATTTAAAAGACATATGATGATTGACCTTAAGTACCGCAAAACATTATACACTTGGACAAGACGTTGAAAAATATTAAAAAGTAAAGTACAAGGATCTCGCCCTTAAGTATGATTGATTATCGCACCACTTGGTAAAATGTCCCATGATATTAAAAAATGCCATATGATTCTTGGCCTTCAATAAGACACGTTATTGTACGTTCCGGCAAGACTTTGTATAGTATTGAAAAGTGTCACAACGATTTTGGCCAAGAATACGAGGGACCATCGTTCAATCATACTAAAAATTTTAAAAAAATTATTTAAAAAAAAATCATATTGAAGCAGGAGCTACAAGGCCAGATGAAGGCTAGCGACCCTCACTAGGATGGTCGCTGACACCGTCCCTTTATTGGCGAGGGCTTACTCGTGCCTACGTAGAGGTGAGCAGTTCTAGATTCCTTACAGGTTCCACCTGAACTTAGAACTTACCCTCGGGTACAGGTTCCTTATTTTTTGAAATCTAGAATCTACTCGTTGGAACTTGAAACCTAGAACTTACCCTATCACAGGTTTTAGGGTAGGTTCCAGGGTCTAACATGTTTTTTTTTTTATTTCATTTTTAGTTTAACAAAAAGAAAATGAACGCAACAATAATGAATAAGCTTGTCATTCACCAAAGAGAATACAAAAGACTAGTTTTCCTGACATTACGGTTTAAATAAATACAATTAAAATAAGAAGTCATTGTGTGAATCAATATTAGAGGTGAGCGATTCCATGTTCCGTACAAGTTCTACCTAGAACCTACCCATGAGAATATGTCCTTCATTTTTTGGAACTTGGAACCTACTTTATCAGGTTCCAAGTCAATTATAGGATCTACCTTTAATGATCACCACTTGCTGCTATGATCCACTGACCATAACTTATATTTAGACACATGAAGAATATAAAATATTAACGAGTCATAAAATGAAAGCTTAGAGTATTGGTTAATGCTATGAAACACCGCAGGATCACGCGAATACATAAACAAAGAAAAAACACAAAAAAACTTATTTAGGTTCAAAGTTCCACCTATCTAAAATCTGGAACCTACCCGTCGAAGCAGGTTCCTCTATTTTTGGAACCTGAAACCTGACCGGTGGGAATCTGTAGATTCCAGATTTCCGGTTCTACCCTGGAACCATGCTCACCCCTATGGCTATGTGATGCAATGGTTGCTCAATGCAATTTTAAAAAGCAAAGAATGGCGGTCTCTATTGGGGCAAGAGCTAATGCCTCTATGAGATGAGTTTTATTGGCTTACTATTTAACAATATGCACAGTTCATAAATTTTAGCTCTAGGTTGAGGGGGTTTGTTTGTTAAGATTTATCAAAAGTGAAAAAAGTTTCGTCAAAATTCTAAATAATATTTAAATCCCAAAAAAATCATAATAATATTAGTATATATATAATAAAAAAATTTCAATGTGTAAAATCGAAAAAAGAATCAAAGCATATGCCTCTTAAGATTGGATTTGCGCAAATCAAAAGATTCAGACGAAATAATTAATAAATAAAAAACTAACACCGAAGTGGAAAAATACCGTAAAGAATCGAAGGAATATATCCATTTACAATCATTTAGATCATGCGCAACAAAACTCTTTCTTCACAAGAAATACTTCAATATGGGGACAGTAACCAATGTTGTGATAAAAACTGATATTAAATTTTTGTCAAAAGAAATCGTGACAACTCAAATTTGAAGACAATCTTATCATGGACAGTGAACAAATGGATGAATGATGATTATTGCCAAGCATTGAATTATAGAGTGAAAAACGAACTATGAAAAGATTGGGGTTCGGGCAGTGACGGCGTTCTCTCTCTCCCGTCCTCTCTACAACGTTTTTTTAAATATTTTTTTCTAGTATTTTTCTGCCAATCGAAATTATTTCATGATTCAGGACATCTTTACTATTAAATTTTATAAGTGAATTACATCAGCAGTCGCCTGGGCGTAGTTAACAAAAAAAGTCAATGATAAAAGGCGTTAATTGCACGCATCAATATCACGGCCGTCGAAGAATTCGATCACAGAATCTTTAAAATAAAAAGGAAATCGAGAATTTAATTACGGAGAAATTACAATAAAGGAAAGAAGTTTCCATCTTTTCTGGACGGTGGAGGAGCGGCTCGTGGGTGGGGCCCCCTCGCTCATATGCTCGAAAAATATCTTTTTTCCCCATAATAATAATAAAAAAAAAGAAAAAAAAAGGAAAGAGAGAGAGAGGCGGGGTTGTACCTCTCTCGTATCAAACGCAGACCCTCTCTGACCTCTTGGACTATAAAATAAAAAAGAGAGGGCATCGTCTCCTCCACCTCCACCTCCTCCTCCTCCTCCACCACACAAATCGCCATTGCTTTCGCCTCCATTTCTTCCTCGGTCTTCTCTTAACCGCAGAGAGAAGGGCGAGAGAGAGAGAGAGACAGACAGCGAGGTCCGACTTCCTCTCTCTGCCTCTCGATCGCTTCTCCGAGGTAACGAATACTTTTAAGCGCTCTCTCTCTCTCTCATTCGCACCTCCTCGCTCCCATCTGAGATCCCGTTTTTTGCTTCTTCGCATCTTTTTGTGTTCTCAGGTTAGATCTTCCCGTCTGTTGTCTCTCAGATCTGATCGTCTCGCTTCGTTTTTGTTGGTGTCGTCTGCTCCTTGCTCGTTAGATCGATCTACGCTTTTTTCCATTTCGTTCCGATTCTCCCTTATACCTTTTCCAAGTTTAGAGGAGCGAGCTGTACTGTTTCAGTCGCCGTAGCTCAGATCTCGTGTTTAGTACTCATCGTTCGTTTGCTAGATCTATACTTTTTTAAGCGGCGTACCTTTCGGTTCTGTCTAGGATTCATCTAGTGGTGTTCGGCTCCGTGTGTATCCTGTTGTTTACTTGAGTGGATATTTTTTTATCGGTGTAATCCTGCCGTAGCTAGGATTTTCTGCACAGTTCGTTCTCTGATTCCATTGATCTCGCGATGAGGAACCTCTTTTCAGGTTCTCTCTTCGTTTGGGATTACTGTTCCTTTGATTGCTTAGAGGTTCTATAGTCATGTGCTGGTGTTTGCCTACTGTTATCTCCCAACAAGATGTGCTTCCTCAAATTCTCCAAGCATTTTGCCGTTAATGCATTCTTATGTGCATTCTGACTATTTGTCTAGACACGCGTGCGGAACCTGTGTGTATGTATGTATGTATAATTTTGCATTTGATCGATTAGGTCCTGTGTCCATAGCTCTACCTGCTCTCGCATTGGAACCACTATCCACCTTTTTTTCTCATTTATTTCTTTTTGAAAGATCAGATCACCTAATCATGTAACCAAAATTGCGTGTGTATTAGATTAGCAGTTGCGATTTTCTCGAGTTTATTTTTGATGTATTGATTGCTCCTTGACTTGACTACTTTCATCGCTGGACATTTGGTTCTCTTTAGATTGATTAACACATACTTTAAGCGTCAGATTTTATATTGGAAAGGGGTCGATATCTTAAGGTGATTCCTTCTTATTGCAATAGAAATACAAAAAAAAAAAAAACTTGTCGACAAGGAAAGGAAGGCCATAGCATCTCAAACTTGTGTGCAGGTTAATGTTTTTTGATTACCTATCCGTGCTTGCGATTAGCATGCAGTTTTCTTTGTTGCTGTATTAATGACCGTATCTGAAGCTGTGCCCTCTGCCCCTTAAA